ACCAGCCTTCTTCTATAACCACAGAAGACTTCTAGCACAGAGACTGGGACACCAATCCATCCTCAACACTTTCGACCTGCACTCTGTGTTTCCTGTAAGATGTACAGGGGTAGTTGTGAAACACAACTTATAGCAGTGGCCAACCAATGACAGTACAACATATAGTACATGCCACAGGAGAGAGCCCACACTTGACTCTGTCTGGACAGTCAGGAACCAGACGCTGGACAGCCAAGAAATCGAGAACACCAAAAAAAATGTTTGGAAAGAATTTCAATTAAGTTATTACTAATGGCATTCAGTTAAACTAGTATATTGGTGTCCAGCCTAACTGTCAATGGAGATATATCACCAGTGAATTGAAGAGAGGAGATGCAGATGCATACAACCAAACAATTGACAGAGTGAGGGGAACCCCACAGATAAGGGGGAGGGAGGATTATAGGGAACATAGTGGCCAAGGGCACCATGAAAACATGGAACAGAATAACAATTAGGCAGGGCTTATAAAGGATCTCAGCTACTGAAGTGATGGTCACAGACCCTGTGTGGTTGGAGCTAGGGCTTCAGCATATAAACTATGGTAATGTAGGCGGGTACTCTCATGAGACACCTTACAGTCAGAGTGGGTGACCTCTGTGACTTTTACCTGTGCTTTGGAACCAATTCCTAACGGTTGCCTCTCCCAGCTATGAGGTTTTGTGGCAAGTCCAATATAACTTGTTAAAACATGTTCTGTGGCTATTCCTGGAAGGATCTCTCATTATTTTTAAAGGAAATGGAGTGTACTTGGAATAGAGGGGTGGTGGCAGCTGAGTGGAGCTGAGGGAGGGGGAAACTATGGTCAAGTTGTAATATATTAGATGGGAATAACAAAGGAAAGCAATACATACTAACAGGAAAAACACTCATGTGCAAGGCACCAGCGTGAATGCCGCTCTCCTTACTTGAAGGATTTTACAGGTCTGCATCAAACAAACTGTGGATCAAAGCCATTTAGAGACCAGCTGTGTCCACAGTGAAGCATGGGCAGACCCCTCTCCTGTCAATCTTCCTCACTTCACACGGATGAATGGTGTGCGCTCACCATTGAGCTTATGTGAAGGAGTCCAACAGGGAATGTATTGGCCCATAAGAGAAGGTGATTTTTCTCTACGCAAACACTGAACCATTTTCACAGCAGATTCAGAGAATCCAAAAGATTACATGTCACTGAAATTGGTCCCATGAATCATTAGGCTTGGCTATATATGTGATGCACAACACGAGCTCTTAATGACTTTTCATTTCTGTTTACCACATTGGTGTCTTTATTTTCCCTTTAAGACAGTCTCACTTTAAATCCTGGCATGGCCCTGTACACACATGTACCCCAGGATTATAGGCATGTGTCACCATGCTGGCTGTATCTGAGTGGCAACAGACCTTTTTACCCAGGTAACTTTTCTCCACTTGGTACCACACTGACAATGAAGTGCCCCCACTGCACTTCACTCCTTCATCACGGCCAGCATAACTGGCAGACTGGTCTTTGAACTGACTGGGTTGGAGACCCCACACTGGTACTCTCCAGCATCCTCACTTCTGACAGGATCAATTCTTAGTACATGCTTTTCGGGAGACAGTGTCATTCTCTCTGTGAGCTTCAGACTCTTGTTATTGAAGATCCAATGGAAAGAGGCATCAAGGTGTGGTGAAATGCAGGTGAAGGACACAGATTTTTGTACTGGAACTGTGGTGTCACTGACTTGCAGGAAGGGCCGCATCACATACTCTGTGAAGAAAAACAGAGGAAGCACCAAATGATGGTAGTCTTTCAGACAGCCCAACCAGCCCTTCTTAAGTTCATATTAAATAAAGACTTCGGGAGATTGGAGCTGTGACTATACACATAACATGTGCTTTGGTTCTGCAACCCAGGGCCCGTGCGTTCTTGATTCAGGCTCTGTTTCCTGTATCTTGAGTTCCATGTACTGGGACACATGAAGCAAGATCGTTGCCTTGCCAATGAATTAGGGTATTTATGAAGACTTGTCTGATGTTTGGATGGGGGAGCTGCCCACATCAGTAGCATCTGTTACTGTTTACCTGTGAAAAATAGAATTCTGAGATGACAGAGAAATTTGGAGGAGCTGCCTTCTCTTGTTGTTCCCTTGGTGTCTTGACTTTTCTCCTGTGAAATCCCAGGAGTCCATCAGAGCAAGACTAATGCCCAGACACTTGTCTCCTGAGCCTCAGGAGGATGATACTCACAGGTGACCCACATAACTACAACCGTCATGGCAGTGCACAACTGGCTCTACACTCCATGGGATCGTTAGCCCCATGACTGGGAAAATTAGTAAAGCCTTGTCCCCTGCTGTCTCCAACAGGAAATATAAACAGACCTTAACTAAAACCTCCCAAGCGTCACCAGGAGTCCAGCCAGGAGCAAACCGTGGAGTAAGTGCTTCTTGGTGGTATCTGTGAGAATCCCATGTCTTATAAAGCCAGGGACTGCCTGAATCCCACTGTCTTTCTGGGGACACGTGCATGGCCAGAGCTCCGAACAGGTGTGCTGAGGCTGGAAGGGTGAGGGCTGAAGGAACCAAAAAGGGGCCCTCCTCTCTGCAGGCAAAGACAGGTGACAGGTTTCATTTTGTTTGTCTACTCCGTGTTTTCCTCCAACACGCCCAAACCCCAACATAGGAACCCAGTGCACTAGGGGAAGGAGCAGTCACAGCCAGGACTGACAGTTCAGTGTATGAATCAGGAAAATTCCACACACAGCAGCTGGAGGCCAAAGGCACGTCCGTTTCGGTGAAATTCAACGTAAGTGTTTTCATTTTGAAATCCAGGTGTAAATTTTCCACTATGTGCGTTCTTGCATCTTTCTCGGTGACAACATGGACAGTCCAGGATCATCGTTGGACACCACCCCTATGCTTCAGTGTGCACGCTGCCAGGAGATGGAATCCGTGGCTCAGCTGTATACCTACACTTTTAAGTGCCTGACCCATAATTATGTATTGGCCTGTAACAGGGAAAGGCTTGAGGTCTTCTGGAAGATTATGCCCTTGGAAGAGAGTGCTTTGCCCTGCAGCGGAACACAGAGCCTCCCCCTCCCTTACCTTTTCATGGTCTCCCTTACTGTTTAATGTCAATGTCGCTGACCCTCTTGCCTGTGCTGTGATTTGTCTGCTTCCCTACGCAGCAGGATTCCTCTCATGTCTTTGTCCCTCTTTGGATACTCCAGGTCAATGGTCCAGACTACTGCTCTCAAGCACAGTCAACTCCTGGCCTCCTGGACTGTGGTCAGGAGACCCTGAAAGATGGCAAATCCCTAGACTCTGTGGCCTGACCTGAATTCCTTCTCTGGCATGTCTGCTGTCACACAGCTCTGCCCTCCTTGCCCATTAGAACTGAGCATCTTCCCACCTCCTAGACGTGGGTGGGTCTGTGCACAAAACACTGCTCTGCCCTCTCCACTGTCCGTGTTGGCCAGTGTGCTTCTCCCCATCTCTCCTCATGGACCTGTCCCCTAGAACATACAGTGAGAGGCTTGACATGAGATGAAAAGGAAGTGCTCCAGGAACTCCTCATTGCTGTGTCCTGGCCTTGGTCTCAAAGCACCAAAGCGGGAACGCCTACAAAACCGCATGGCACAGCAAACCACCCGGACACCCAGTCTGCATTGCGTTTTCAGTGATCTGCAAACATGGAATTGGCTCCCACAGACATATTTGTGTGGCTGCAAGGGGACCAGATCAGTGATGTGTGTGAAGGAGAATAAATGTATTTTCAGTGGAGCCACCAATCAGGTTTCTGACCAAGGTCAAAGGTCCAGGATGTGTCAGGGGTACCACAATCCTCGGTTTGTGGGAGGAGGTGACTTGACTCCCTGACTCCCAGGCGGCGAGCTCTTTTGTCCCAGGCAAGATTTTGAGTCCATGCTTATGCTTCCTCTGTTTGCTGAGTCCCACTGTCTTCTGAGATTTCTTGGACCTCTGTCTAATTGGTTCTCCTTGAGTATCACATAATCCCCAAGGACATTCATAAAAGGGGAATGAAAACATGAACCTCGGCCAGTATAGCACACACATTAAGAAGCCAGCAGGTCTGACACCACTGTGTCCATGATCTCTGGGGTCTGTAAAAACAGAAGCAGAACCAGTCTCCTAGGTAAGTTTCCACTTCAGGTGCATACTTTTCTGCCAGTTCATTGTCCTAATGACATCCCTGGTGGTCACTGGCAGAACTACAGCTCAGGTTTGGGAGCTGTGCAGACCAGTATAGCCTAGAGCCATTTCCCTACAAGAGAGGAGTCTCTGAACTGGACCCAGAGTATACTTGTCATGAGGATGTTTTCCCTCTCCCTGTCCTCATTTTCTCTGACCTTCCTTTAAAGTCTCATCAGAACGTATAGGTTATGAACTGAGCACCTATCAGGCTTAGCTCTCATAGTTTACTCTGTGAAGATGTCCAGGGGACCTAGACTAACCATATAGCTTATGACAGTGCCATGGCTGGTTCCAAAGATGCAGGACTTACTTGGGATAATGAAAAGCATGGTTTCCTGCCAACAGGAAGTCAAAATCCAGCCTTTATGAACTGATTCTGAAGATCACGTAGAGTTGATTCTGGGACACCGGTCTAGAACCAGGGTGTCTTGCTGCTCCCAGCCATGAGAGGATCCCAGATTTTCCTTCACAGTGTCAAATATTGATTCAATTCCGGACCTTTCCCAAGGACACATTCCTGGCTAGAAGCCCTAGCGTCTAGACAGAGGCTGATACCCTTGGCTACATTATCCAATATCTGTCTAGCTGTATGCAAAGTGAAGTCAAATAAAGATTTCTGATCTATTGTCATTATTCTAAACCATGAGTGTCCTGCACTGAATCCTCATAGCCAAAAATAGAAGTACAGTCCACAGGGGAAGGCGGCACAGGCCGTTATACTGTGAGTGTCCAATGGGGTGAAACCCACTGACAGCACAGAATTCAGAAAGGATTTCTTACCATGCACAAGAAGGTGCTTGGTTGTCGTTGACACAATATCTGCATGTCTATTTAAGGTCCGTAGGGTGTAGAATCCTGTGTCCTTCTTGGTGACATTTCTGAGCAGCAGAGATCCATTGCGGTACACTGTCTCTCTACCACTGTGTACAGGCCCTGGGGCACTGAAATTGTTGCTCAGTTTATATATTGCAATTACATTTTCCGTAATTTTCACCCCCTTGAACCAGACTAAGGCTATAAGATTCCCTGGCAGATTATGGACAAGAAGAAGAAGGTTTTCTCCTTCGCCCACTTGGGGAGGCACAGATTCGATGGTGACGTGAGCAGTGGTGGTGGAGAGATGCCAGCATGTTAAAAGGGAGGCTAGAAGGGGACAGAAAAAATAACCAATCAATGTTGAACAGATGTGGTCATCACTCAGCTTATATGTGGGGTACCAGTGCGTCCACCCTCCTCGGTAGACATGAGCAGCGTGACTTCTACCCACTCAAAGCCTATGACTGTGTCATTAACGCTTAGGCATACTCTGCTCAGGTTTTTACCTGGATCCCCCAACAGTGTCCCATTATTCCTTCTACATATAATACTTGGTGCAATGAGCACCTTCCATCTGAACTCCTCTGGAGAGGTTTCATTTTCTCAGTCTTTCACTGCCCCATTTGTAATTCCAAACAACCCATGATTTCATCTTGCAGATACCCTCACATAAGTTCAACAAGAGGTGGGGGTTGTAAGGATAGGGTTTACTGTGACTGTATTGGAGAGTGAAGCTCCTGAAAAAGATTCAGATACAAGTGCTTAAGGACACTGAGCCTATGTCACTCACAGGACCGTCAGCCCCACGGCTGCACACAAAAACCTCAAGTCTTCTCTCAGGCTCCTGCCCTTTTGAGGAGATCCCAGCCTGCCTCCAAGACCACTTCCACCCTCACAGTCAGAGAGTGAGTGAACTCACCCGTAAGCACAAGCCTTTGCCAGGGAGAGCACCCATTGCAGAGAAGCACAGAGGACGCCTCCATCTCTCTTCTCAGCTCAGGTCCTCCAGCAAGGTGCTCAGTCTCTGCAGCTCTCCTTCCTATGAGCTGAGCTTCTTTTCAGTCAGAACTTCCCAGAATCCAAAGGGCTGTTTGTGGTGGGATCTGTGTCCAAAGCACAGCTCAATCCTTTCAGCTCTTAGTGCCGTCCCCCACCCATTTCAACTTCAATTTATGTTTCTCCACCAAGCAGCACGTTGCACAACAATGCTGATAAGCATCCTCATGGTCTAGAGAACAATGGCCCATCCCAGGGCAGGCACCTGCTGCATCACGCCTTAGGTCTTTCAGCACCAGAGGGAGACTTCAATAAGCCTATGTGTCCTTGTGACACAGAGCTCCAACTGAGCACCCTCCCTACCCTGGGTACTCAATGTGTGCTTTTGTAATTCACTGAGGAAAGTCTTAGAGATGTCTCTGAAGGCTGGAAAAAGACAAGCTGAGTGATGACTAGGAAGGAAGATCCATGGTTTATCACTAATTGTAAGCAGTCAAAGTTCTGTCCAAGGAGAGAGACCCAGAAGCAGCTCCATGAGGAGTTTCATATTCTTAGTGTGGTGAAACAGAAGAGCAATTGTTCTCCAAAGAACTGTGGGCTCCATCTTACTATAGAGGGTTTCAAGTCAATATTCTAGCATTATGTGTTACTTAACTGTGCTGGGTAAGCCCATATCCTCTCTGATATTCATATGTCATCTTTGACCTTTGCCTAGCTGTGATGACCACCACAGCCATTGTGAAGAGTAAGTCAAACAATGTCATCATACCATTAGTTTCATCAAGGCATTAGTTTTCCACTCATGGTTTCTGTGACAACTTTACACAGCATGTATTGTAGAAAGGACAAATTGTAGTGAAGTCTTGCGAGGATACAGGAGATAGCCTGTTCAGCCTATATATTCCCCAATGTTAAGAGTTTTAGCTAGAATCACCTCCCTAGATTCCGGGGAGTTTCCATTACACTAGATGTCTAGCTCCTGCAACAGGTGCCCCCAGATTCCATTTGTCTCCCCCAGTAATCTCCATGCATCTTTCCACCCCCTGAGTTCTCCTATTCCAGATCCACCACTCTCTCCAGACCCCTGTCCCCTTGCACCTGCAATATCTATTCACAATGTGTCCTTGTAGGAATAGGTTGTTGTTGTTGGAGAAAGTGTGTAACTATGGAGGTGGGATTTCAGGTATAATATACACTCAAGCCATGCCCAGTGAAAAAGATGATTTCCTGTTTCTTCTACCTCTAAATAAAAGCACTCACAGCTCTTGCTCCAGAATCATAATGAAGCCATGTTGCATTGTGATGATAATGGATGAAGCACATTAAACTGTAAGAAGCCAAATTAAATGTCTCTTCTTTATAAGAGTTGCCATGCTCATGGCATCTATTCACAAAAGCAATAAAAAGTTAATTGACACAGGTATGTCCTTTGTATCCCTGATCTCATCAAGACCTTTTTCATGACACAAAGTTGGCCTTTGTCAAAAGCTGTTGCAGTGTTTAATAAGTGGATTGTGTGGGGGTTTCCCCTCAGTTTGTTTATCTGAAGGATTACATTGACATATTTTTGTATGTACAACCATCCTTGGATCTCTGGGAAGAAGCTCACTAGATCATTGGTGGATGATCTTTTTAACATATTCTTGGATGTGGTTTGCAAGTATTTTTTAAGTACTTTTGCAACTAACGACCATGAAGGATATTGGTCTGTAATTCTCTCTCTTTGTTGAGTCTTTGTGTGGCTTGGGTATCAGGGTGACTGTGCCAATGTTCATTCCATTTCTATTTCATGGAGTAATTTGAGGAACAATTGTCCTAGCTCTTCTTTAAAAGTCTGGTGGAACAGAGACAGCTGACCTGAACAAGGAGGAGCTAATTGGCCCCCAGACTGATAGCTGGGAAACCAGCATTGGAATGACTCAAACCCCCTGAACATGGGTCTCAGTTAGAAGGCCTGGGCAGTCTAAGAGACCTCAGACAGTGGAACCAGGATGTATTCCTAGTACACAAAGGACTTTTGGAGCACATTCCCCATGGAGGGCTACTCCCTTAACCTAGAGGCAGGAGGTTGGCTCTAGACCCTACTCCAAATAACTAGACCGATTTAGATGGCCCCTCCTGGAAGGCATCAGCCTACATGTGGTGTGAATGGGATGAGAGGGGGTTAGGGGACATGGGAGGGAGGAAGGGACAGGGAACTGGGATCAATATGTAAAATAAGAAAAAAGTAATAAATATTTATATAAAACAGAAGAATAAATAACACCAAGCATTTAAGGTAAAACACCAAGAGAAATACTTATCTAAACAGTTCTAGGAGATTTGATGAGAGATAGATGCTAGAATAGTTTGATATCAGTTATGCCCTGAGCAGAAAGAGCCCAGTGTCCAATACTGGATCTTCAGGAGGGTACAAAACATAGTCCTGTCCCTTTCCTTTCTGAGTAGGGATAGCAGAAGAAACTACTTGATTCCCTGTCCAGGCTATGGAGGGATGGAATTTGACAGAAATATTACAGACTCGGGTAGTTTAGTGCTACAGTCAAATCTAACACTCCATGTGTATTCACTTCATAAAACACACATGTGCTCAAGATGCTGATGGCCAAGTATAATATCTGTGAAGAACAGCTCCTCCTGCCCCACATACACAGGTGGAAACCGCCAGAGTGAAGACGCTGGATACGTGGTTGTATGCACACAGCTTCTCACTCGTGACCTGTGAGACAGAAGTACACAATGTATTTCCTATGTCTCTTTTCTACTGATAGCACTCACAGTTAATGAATGTTGAAATGGTGAAATAGATCACAGTCTTGCCACTGGAACAGGACAGCTGTCCAGACCAGGATTGTCTCAAAATATTTGCCTTCAGGAGAAGTTGCTAGACTTAATCGTTGAGGACAGGAAGTCATTGGGAGCATCTGTTTGTACTGTCCCTCCCCGTGGGGATCATGACAGTCTTGTGACATCTCATAAGCCCATCAGAACAGTTAGTTAACAACAGTGACCCTGTGCCGCTGGGAACTCCATGGTGACTCTCAGAAAGGGATTATCTGGTTCTTACCGGATGCCCGAGCACTCTATGGAATCAGCTGGAGCTAGAGTTAGGTGAGGCTGTGAAATCTCTTCACAAAGGTGTTGGGCATGGAATTCATGTTCTCTGCGAGATAAACGAGTGCTACTCAACACTGGGTTATCTCCCAAAACCTCCTTTCTCAATTATTGCCCTGTTCCATTTGTGATTCAAGTTACACACTGAATTCAACTAGAACTTTGTGAGGACAGAAGGCAGCTGTGGTTCAGAAACACATGGCTGAATGAATGGATGATATTCCTAGAGAACTTCTGTGAAGGGATTCCATTCGGTAGATAACAAGATAGGATAGTATCAGACTTTGACTTTAACTTACACTTTCTTATGCATTTTATGTGTGTGTGGAAAGAGCTAGGGACAGTGAGAATGTGTGTTTATTTGTGCATACATCAGGGTAGGGCTAAGAAAATACGGCCGTACCCATCCAGAGGTTAGAAAACATGAGAGAATTGGTTCTTTAATTCCATGAAGTTGAATCTGGGAATTGAACTCAGCGTGTTGACCTGGGCAGCAAGTGCATTCTTCCACAGGATCACCTCGATGGCCCACATTGTTTTGAATTTCCTTCAGAGGGGAACACTGTCGTGGTTGGGAACATACATTCGTGTTCAGAATGTAATGGCTAATGATGATAACCTTGGGGGAGAAAGCAATATGGCTCCCCCTTCCCTTACTCTTACCAGTTCACCAAGCGCTTTTTGCTCCTAAACTTCTGTTCCCCTCTGTCCTCTCCTTTGGGGCTGTGAGGACAAACACTTTGTCCTTCTAGTGCTACTATCTTCAAAGACGCCAGCCATTCTCTGAGTTTCCCCTCCTGTCTACTCCCCATGCATGACCTCTGAAAATGTTTATTATGTTAGGAGTAGGTTTTTCCGCCCGCCGTTGGTCTTGTCCTGCCGCTTCGCTGTATTTGATATAACGCTGTTGGTCAGGTACTGGTTTCTTATCGGCTAGCTCTGTCTTAAGTATTAACCCATTTTTATTAGTCTAAGTACTTCCATGTGGTCTCATCTTACGAGAGAGCCGGCTTGGACATGTGTGTGGTGAAAGCTCACAGAGAGCTGAGGAAAAGCGAGGCTAACTTTACCCAACCGGGGTCCTCTTCTCTGCAGATGAGGGAATTCTGACATTCGACTCCGTGTTTTCCTACAATAAGTGCCCAAACCCCAGTATGGGGATGCAATGCACTAGGGGAGGGAGCCAGTTCTGACAGTTCAGTGTATGAAGTAGGATAAGCCACACCCAGCAGCTGGAAGCCAAAGTTGCTTACTGTTTACATAAAATTCCACTTAAGCTTTTTCATTTTGAAATCTTTGTTGGAAACTTCTAGTATGTACATTTCCTGCATCTTTCTCGGTGACATCCTTGACCCATTATTGTACATCATCCCTATTCTGTGTGCAGGTTGCCATGAGGGGGAATCCATGGCTCTGCTGTACACTACAGTTTTAAGCGCCTGATCCCAATATATTGATTTATACCCAGGAAAGGCTTGGGATCTTCTGGAAGACTATGGACTTGGAGAAGAATGTTTTGCCTTTCAGCCGCATACAGAGTCTCCCCCACCCTCGTTCCTTCACCCTCTCCCTTAGTGTTTAATGCCAATGCTGCTGACCCTCTGGCTCAAACACTAGGATTCTCCTCATGGCTCTTGGGAGAACACAGGCAGTTTGCCAGTCCTCTCCTCTCAAGCACACTCAAGTCATGGCTTCCTTGGCTATGACCAGGAACCCCAGGAAGAGGATACAACCTTTGGAGATCAGTACGGAGGGGCAACTCCCCTAGTCTCTGTGGCCTGATCTGAATTCCTTCTGTGGTATGTTTGCTGCAGCATACCACACAAGCTCTGCCGTCATTCCCATGAGAGCTGAGGATCTTCCCAGGAATGAGCACCTCCCAGAGACACGTACGCTGTGGGTTAGTCTGTGTTCAGAAACTGCTCTATCCCCTCACCCCTCAATGCTGCCCAGTCGCCCTCTCCCCATGTCCCTATGTTTCTGTCCCCTAGAGCATAGAGTGAGGGCCTGTGACATGAGGAAATAGCAGCTGCCCCGAGACTGTCCTTGGCCATGTTCTACCCTTGGTCTCAAAGCACCAAAACGAAAACGTCTACAGAAGTACAACAATCATAAACCCAGCTGGGCACCCAGTCCTTATTATGTTCTCAATGCTCTGCAAACATGGACTGCTCCCACAAGGAAGGTGACAGACATATCTGTGTGACTCCAAAGGGACTAGAGCAGGGGTATGTCAGGAAGAGAACAAATATATTCCCAATGGAGAAACCAATCTGATTTCTGCAAAGGTAGAAGGCACAGAATGTGTCAGGGATGTCACATCCTGGGTTTGTGAGAGGAGGGGTCTTGACCCCTGAAAAAGGGCTGAGAGGTCCTTTGACCCAGGGGAGATTTTCAATTTTGCTTATGCTTCCTCTGTTTGCTGAACTGAGTAATGGGCCTTCCCTTGGGTTCCATGGTCATTCTGAGAAGTCTTGGACCTCTATCTAATAGGTTCCGCTTAGATATCAGAGAATTCCCCAAAAAAAATACATAAACAGGGAAAGGGAACGTGACCCTTTAGGAGCGTTGCACACGCATTCAGAACCCAGTAGGTCTGACACCACTGTGTCCGTGATTTCTGGGTCTGAAACAACGGAAGTGGAACCAGGCTCCCAGCTAAATGTCTGGTTCAGGCAAAAGCTTTTCTGCTAGTTCATTGTTTGTCCTAATAACATCCCTGGGAATTACTGGGAGGACCAGAGCTCATGTCTGGAAGTTGTCCAGATCACCATAGCCTGTAGCCATTTCCCTACAGGAGAGGATTCCACGAGTTGACCCAGAGGACACTTGTCAGGAGGATGTATGTCCAATCTCCCTGTCCTTATTTTCTCTGACCTTCCCGTAAAGTCTAATAAGCCCATCGGAGCATATAGGTAATGAACTGAGCACCTATCAGGCATAGCTCTCCTTGTTTAGTCTATAAAGAAGATGTCTAGGGGACCTACAGTAACCATGTAGCTCATGACAGTGTCTTGGCTTGTTCCAATGGTGCAGGACTTGAACTACTAAAAAGCATGGCTTCCTGGCATCAGGAAGTCAAAATAAAACCTTTATGAAATCATTCTCAAGGCCGCCTGTAATTGATTCTTGGACAAAGGTCGGGAGCTACGGAGTCTCACATCTCTGTGAGGGTCCCAAATTTCCCTCCACAAGGTCAAATATTGATTCAACTCTGGATCTTTGTCTATGACACATTTCTTGTAAGAAGCCCAACAGTTGCAACAGAGGCTGATGCCCTTGGCTGAGTGACCCACCATCCATCCACCTGTCTGCAAAGTGAAGTTAAATGAAGAATTATGTTCTATTGCCATTATTATAAACCATGAGGGTCCTGTGATAAATACTCATACCCCAAAATAAAAGTGCAGTCCACAGGAAAGGAAGGCATGGGCCATTATACTGTGGTGTCCAATTGACTGAACCCCACCCACAAACCAGAATTCAAAAAGAATTATCTTACAGTGCATGAGAAGGTACATGGTGGTGGTTGATGCAGTATCTGCATGTCTCTGTAAGGTTTGTAGGGTATGGTATCCTCTATCCTTCCTTGTGATGTACCATAATAACATGGATCCGTTGCTGTAAACTGGCCCTCTATCACTTTGTACAGGCCAAGGAACACTTAAATCGTTGTTCAGTGTATATATTCCAATTACATGGTTCATGATTATCATTCCTTTGAACCAGACTAAGACATAAGATTCTCTGGCAGATTGTGGACAAGGAGATGGATGTTTTCTCCTTCTACCACCTGGGGTAAGCAAATGGAACGATGACATGGGCAATGGTTGAGAGGTGCCAGCAGGTTAAAGGGTAGGCTAAAAAGCAGCAGAGGAAAAGATCAATCAATGTTGAGCATATGCAGCCCCCCACCTCTCCTTTTCCAGTCCCCTGAATTGTGGCTGCCAGACAGTCCCTGCCAAAAAAATCCCCCAGAGGGACCTGAAGGCAGAAAAAAATGTCCCAACAACGGGTATCATTCCTGCCCTACCCCTCCACCCATCACTAGAGAGGAGAGGGACAGATCCCAACCATACCCATTGGAAAAGAGATGGGAAGATGACATTATAAAGAAAATATTCAACAATAGAAAGACTTATATGACACCACCAGAATCTAGGGACTCTACACCAGCAAGACCTGAACATCCCAATGCAGATGAAGCAGCAGAGAATGACCTTAAAACAACTTCATGAACTAGGATACAAGGAGGAATCTAAGAGATTCATACAAGGTCTCTCACAGAAGGGGAAAGGAACAAGACCTCCTGAGTACATTGGGAGTGGGTGGGGGCAGTGAGTGGAGAGGGAGCTAGGAGAAAGAGAAGGGGAGGAGAGGAGAACATGTGGGACCAGGAAGACTAAGTCAGGGGAAGAATAGACAAGGGGACAAAAAGAGATACCATAATAGAGAGAGCCATTATAGGTTTGAAGAGAAAACTGACTCTAGAGAAATGTCCAGAGACCTACAAGAATTACCCCAACTAACAGTCTGAGCAACAGTGGAGAGGCTACCTTAAATGCCCTTCCCTGACAATGAGATTGATGACTACCTTATTTGCCATCATAGAGCCCTCATCTGGTAGATGATGGAAACAGAAGCAGACACCCACAGCTAAACACTGTGCTGAACTCCTGGAATCCAGTTGCAGAGAGGGAGGAGTGGTAAGAAAATGAGGTCAAGACCAGGCTGCAGAAACTCACAGAGACGGCTGACCTGAACAAGGAGGAGCTAATGGACGCCAGACTGATAGCTGGGAATCCAGCATTGGACTGACTCAGTCCCCTTGAACATGGGTCTCAGTTAGAAGGCCTGGGCAGTCTAAGGGGCCTCTGACAGTGGAACCAGGATGTATCCCTGGTGCCAAGAATGGACTTTGGGAGCACATACCCCATGGAGGGATTCTCCCTTAACCTAGAGGCAGGAGGGAGGGACTAGTCCCTACTCCAAATGACTTAACAGATTTTATTGATCCCTCCTGGAATGCATCACCGTCCCTGTGGAGTGGGGGGGGGTAGGATGAGGTGGGGGTGGGGGGGCATGGGAGGGAAGGGAGGTGGGAGGGAGGGACAGGGAACTGGGATCGATATGTAAAATAAGAAAAACTAATAAATGTATATAAAAGTGAGGTATAGAACTGAATAGAGAATTCTCACTCCCATATGGATATTAGACATAGAGCAAAGGAGAACCATCCTACAATCCACAACCCCAGAGATACTAGGAAGCAAGGAGGACCCTGAAAGCGATGTACATGGGCTGCCCAAGAGAAAAATGACAAGATCTCCTGAGCAAATTGGGAGCATGGGTGGAGGGAGAGGGAGGTATGAGAAGAAAGAAGGGACAAGGAGAGGGGGGGAGAACGTGAGGGATCAGGGAGGTCAGGTTGGGAGAAAAATACAGAAGCAGAGCCATGACAGAGGTTCCTTAATAGAGGGAGCTGTCGTGGGCTTAACACAAAGTCTGGCACTAGGGAAATCTCCAGGGATCCACAAGGATGACCCCAACTAAGAATCTAAGCACTAGTGAAGAGGCTGCCTTAAATTCTTTCCCCCTGATTGAAGACTGTCTTATCCTAGAACCCTCATCCAATAGCTGATGGAAACAGAAGCAGATATTCACAGCTAAGCACAGAGCTTGCTGGAATTCAGTTGTGGCGAAGGAGGAGTGATGAGCAAAGGGATCAAGACCACGCTGGGGAAATCCATAGAAACAGCTGGTCTGAGCGAATGGGAGCGAATGGGAGCGAATGGGAGCGTATGGATCCCAGTCTGGCAGCTGGGGAACCATCATGGGACAGAACCAGGTTGCCTGAACATGGGTGTCAGTTGAGGGGCTTGGGCAGTCTATAGGGCCTCTAGCAGGGGAACCAGTGTTTAAACCTAGAGCATGAATGTGCTTTGGGAGCCCATTCCCTATGGAGAGATACTCTGTCAGCCTGGATACACTGGGAAGGGTGTAGCGGTGTCTAGCCTCTGAAGCTGTACTGGTGGCCACATCCTTTTGAGTGTGGCTTCAGGTGGACTGAAGTCAAAAGAGGGAAGTTGTGGTCTTTCTGTGTTCAGTGTTTCTCTTGGGTCAGCCAATCCAATGGGAAGGGGGAAGAAGCGGTCCCCAGTAAACACCCATTTTTCACTTGGCGTGGGTCTAGAGAAATCTTCACACCCTTGCCTACATTTTGGCGCTCCATTTGAGTGGGTGGGTGCCCACAACTGATCCACTCATGTGAACCAGTGGTCTAGTGCCGCCCTGTCTAGCTGGCTGGATTTTCATGACCCAGGGTCAACCGCAGCCAGCCTCACTATGTTCTGGTAGTCCCTACAGCTGTCAACTTTTGTACTTTCAGCTGGCCGCTGAGTTTGACGCCCTGCCCTGTGCACTCTGCGAATTTAACAGTGCGCATGTGGGAAGCAGCCAAAGCTTCCTGAGGTGCAGTGCTTTTTGTTTGTTTGTTTGTTTTTTGTTTGTTTGTTTGTTTCCTCTATGATTTGCTCGACAGGCCAAAAGTTTCCCTGAGTCATCGAGGCAGCAGGAAGGAGCTTTCAGACATTTTACAATGGCTGCTCAGCTCAGCGGGATGAGCACCAACAGTACTTTGCAAAGGTTGAGTTCCTTTACTTCTCTCTAAAAAAAAAAAAAATCATTCAGTTTGGGTTTTTTGAGTATTCTTTAGAAATTACAGATTGTGGCCAATATTGGTTTGAAAATAAAATTGAACACAAAGAAAGGTCTAGAGAACTACAAGACTGTCGCCAACTAACAATCTGAGCATCCGTGGAAAGGCTATCATAAATGCCCTTCCTGGATAGTGAGATCAACAACTAACTTATCCATGGAGCCCTCATCTAATACCTGTTGGAAACAGGAGCTTACATCCATAACTAAACACTGAGTCGAACTCGAACCCAGATACAGATGGAGAGGACAAGACCAGGCTGCAAAAACACATAGAGACAGCCGACCTGAACAAGGAAGAGTTAACGGCCCCCCAGACTGAGAGCTGGGAAGCCAGCATGGGACTGACTCAGGCCCCCTGAATATGAGTCTCAGCCAGAAGGACTGAGCAGTCTAAGAGACCTCAGACAGTGGAGCCAGGATGTATCCCTGGTGCACAAAAGGACCTTGTGGACACATCCCCCATGGAGGGATAACTGCCTTAACCTAGAGACAGGAGAGAAGCCCTAGTCCCTACTTCACAGGACCTGTCAGATCTACATGACCCTAACTGGATGGCATTCCCCTACATATGGAATTGGGGTGGGGGATGGGAGGGGAGGGTGGTTAGGGTGCATGTGAGAGGGCAGAAGGGTAAAAGGGGGGAGGGATGGATGGAGGGAGGGAGAGGGAACTGGGATCGACATGTAAAACAATAAATTAAATAAATAAATAAAAAGAAATTACAGATTGTAATACATTGAGGCAAGGAAGGCAGGAAGGAGCCTTTTGCTGCAGGGCTCCTTTGGGCAGTACAACTGCGACACCTGGCGGCCAAATGAGGCAACAGCCACACAGACCTCCGCTTTCCAGGCGTTTGCTTAAGGAATGGTTAACAATAGCAGATGATATTACTATGCACGAAGTAAAAAACCTTTTCGTTTCTTACATGGGCGGGATTTTAGATGAGACTTACGATCTACCTAGAACACATTTATTATTATTATCCATGGTTGCTATTACCTTGATGACCCAAATAATATCCTTAAAGAAACGGTTTGATAATAGAGCAAAGAATGAGAAACTTATAGGAATCATACAGACTTTACAGACCACTAATGAGGGGTTAGTAAAAAGGATTCATACCCTTGGGAGACCTCACCCTCCCTGAGCAGTGGATGTGGGTTGAGATGAGGGTGTTGGTGGGGGAAACTGGAGAATGGGAGGGAGAGGGGACTGGGATTGGTATGTAAAATAAGATTGTTTTTAACTTAAATTTCAAAAAAAAAATTAGAGTTAAAAAAAATTAACAAATGTTTTCATTTGATCAGATATAACTCGCCATAAGGGAAGCTTCCCAAAATCAGGGTTGAATTAAAGGGAAACCCAGGGCATCTTCTGTGATCTTTGCCTTGCTTGAATCTTCCTCTTCCTCTGACTCAGAAGTTAACAGAGGCTGCTAGCCATGGTACCCTTTCCTGCTGTAGTCCCTCCTTATACAAGCCAGCCCCTCGGCCCAGGTAGCTGGTCACAACCCTGGTGACTACTTCAGAGAAGGAGGGGGAGGGGGAGGGTCGGGGGACCAGCATCTGAGATCCCAGCCCCCCCCCCCACGCAAAGCAGCCCCATTACACACAGCCTCAGTGTCTCCGTCTCTGAAAGACTTCAAGTACTCAGGCTGGGGAGGTTAGTGGAAGGGGGTTCCATCTATGCAGCTGTGGAGAAGCCATCACCCATAGTGAGCAAAAACTTTGCAATGTGGCTGCTTTTGGGGGGGGGATATTTTGCTCCCTTGAGACATGGATAGTATTTTTTCCTCTTTTAAATACAATAAATAACAATTGAATTACAAAAAAAAGTTTAGATTTGTGATTTAATAAGATCATCTTTTGAGATAAGTAAAATCATTTGTCCCGTCTTTGTAACCACAAAATGTAGTCTGTCAATAAAAGAACTGGCTGAGAAAAATACCCTGCTTGCTTTGTTAATCTAAAACAAGTTGCTTGAACATGAATGCATATGGGTTCTCAGGGTGATTTGTTTTTCACCGTTAACACATAAAATGTTTAATCATGTAACGGTTCTGAAAAACATGCTGTTTTGTTTTGTTGTTGTTTTTTTTTTTTTCATTGTAATCATTCCCTTGAAAAATAGAATGTAACCACATTGTAATTTATATATTGCTTGAAAGATTCTGCTGGCATACATAGCTGTAAGGGAAAAAAATAAAGAAGTTAGAAGGAAGTCATCAGGAAATGATTGAAAGGAAACATCAGTATAGAAAAAAGAACAGAAAGAGAATGGAATAGAGCAAACAACAAAAAGAATGATAACATGAAGAACTCAGCTTTGGCCCTCAAAAAAGTCCTTGTGTGTGTGTGTCTGCCTGTCCAGTAGCTCACTTGATCTGCATCTCTTCTTCAGCTTCTCTGACCCGCTGAAGGCTTGCCATTCAGTGCCCTGACATATTGGAGATGTTTGTGGGGGGACTTTGTTTATATGGTGGATCACATTGATGAATTTTCATAAGCTGAACCATCCCTGCATCTCTGGGAAGAAGCCTACTTGGTCATGGTGGATGATTTCTCTGATGTGTTCTTGGATTTAGTTTGCCAGCATTTTATTGAGTATATTTGCACCATGATGGATATTGGTCTGATATTCTCTTTCTTAGTTGTGTCTTTCTTTGGCTTGGGTACCAAGGTAATTTTAGCCTCATAAAAAAGTTTGGTAATAAGCCTTCTGCTTCTATTGTGTGGAACGATTTGAGGAGTAGTGGTATTAGCTCTTCTTTAAATTTCTGGTAGAATTTTGAACTGAAGCCATCTGGCCCTGGGCTTCTTTTGATTGGGAAGCCTTTGATTACAGCCTCTAAATCATTAGGGGTTATAGGTCTATTTAAGTTGCTTATCTGTTCTTGATTTAATTTTGGTAAGTGATGGTTATACAGAAATTTGTCCATTTCCTTTGAGTTTTCAAATTTTTTGGAGTACAGGTTCTGAAAGTATGACCTGAAAATTCTCTGGATTTCCTCGATGTCCATTGTTATGTCCCCCTTTTCATTTCTGATTTTGTTGATTTGCATGTTCTCTCTCTGCTTTTTGGGTAGTTTGGATAAAGTTTTGTCTGTCTTGTTGATTTTCTCAAAAAATCAACTCTTCATTACATTGATTCTTTGTATTGTTTTCCTAAATTCTACTTTGTTGATTTTAGCCCTTAAATTATTTCCTGGCATCTACTCCTCCTGGGTGAGTTTGCTTCTGTTTGTTCTAAGGCTTCCAGTTGTGCTGTTAATTCTCTAATGTGACTGTCCTCCATTTTCTTCATATGGGCACTTAGTGCAATGAACTTTCCTCATAGCACTGCTTTCAAAGTGCCCCATGAGTTCATGTATGTTGTGTCTTCATTCTCATTGAATTCTAGGAAATCTTTAATTTCTTTCTTTATTTCTTCCTTGACCCAGGAATGGTGCAATTGTGCATTGTTCAGTTTCCATGAGTTTGTAGGGTTTCTGTGGTTTGTGTTATTGTTGAATTCCAACTTTAAAGCATGGTGGTCTGCTAAGATACGGGGGACTATTCCAATTTTTTTTTTAATGTGTTGAGGTTATGTTACCTAGTATGTGGTCGATTTTAGAGAAGGTTCCATGTGAAGCTGAGAAGAAGATATATTCTTTTGTGTTTGGATGGAATGTCCTATTGATGTCTGTTAAACCCAATTGGAACATAACTTCTATTAATTATTTTGTCTCTTTGGTAACTTTCTGTCTGGTGGTCCTGTCTAGCGGTGAGAGTGGGGTGTTGAAATCTCCCACTATGAGTGTATGAGGTTTTATGTGAGCATTGAGTTTAAGTACCATTTCTTTTACGAATGTGAGTACCTTTGTATTTGAGACATAGATGTTCAGAACTGAGACTTTGTACTAATGGGTTTCTCCTGTGATGAATATGAAATTACCTTCTTCATCCCTTTTGATTGATTTTGGCTTGAAGTCTAACTTGTTAGGATATTAGGATAGCTACCCCTGCTTGCTTCTTGGGTCAATTTGATTGGAAGGTCTTTTCCCAACCCTGAGGTAATGTCTGTCTTTGAAGCTCAGATGTGTTTCTTGTATGCAGCAGAAGGATGGATTCTGTCTTCGTATCCATTCTGTTAGCTTGTGTCTTGTTATAGACAAGTTAAGACCCTTAATGTTGAGGAAAAGTAAGAATCATTGATTGATAATTCTTGTATGCTTTGGGTTTGTTGTTGGCGGTGGTACTGTGAGTATATTCACCCTGCTTTATTTACCCTTGGGTTCTGGTGAAGTGGGATTATCTATTGCCTATGTCTTTGTGAGTGTAGTTAACTTCCTTGAGTTGGAGTTTTCCTTCCAGAACTTTCTGTAGGGCTGGATTTGTAGATATGTATTGTGAAAATCTGGCTTTGTCATTGAATATCTTGTTTTCTCCATGTATAGTGATTGAGAGTTTTGCTGGGTATAATAGCCTAGGCTGGCATCCCTGGGCTCTTAGTTTGTAGAACATCTATCCAGGACCTTCTGGCCTTGAGAGTTTCCATGGAGAAGTCAGATGTAATTTTGATAGGTCTGCCTTTCTATGTTACCTGGCCAATTCCTTCGCTGCCCTTAATGTTCCTTCTTTATTCTGTATGTTAGGTGTTTTGATTATCATGTGTCCAGGGGTCTTTTTCCTTTGGTCCAGTCTATTTGGTGTTCGGTATGCTTCTTGTACTTTCATGGGCATGTCCTTCTTCAGATTTGGAAAGTTTTCCTCGATGATTTTGTTGAATATGTTTTCAGCATCTTTGAGCTGGGCTTCCTCACCTTCCTCTATGCCTATTATTCTTAGGTTTGGCCTTTTCATGGTGTCCCACATTTCCTGGATGTTTTATGTTAAGGATTTGTTGGGTTTCAGATTTTCTTTGGTCGATGAATCTATTTCCTCTAGTTTATCTTCTGCGCCTGAGATTCTCTCTTCCATCTCTTGTATTCTGTTGGTTATGCTTGTGTCTGTAGTTCCTGATCTTTTGCCCAGCTTTTCTATTTCCAGCATTCCCTCAGTGTGTGTTTTCTTTATTGTCTCTATTTCAGTTTTCAAGTCTTGAACTGTTTCCTTCATCTGTTTGATTGTTTTTTCTTGGCTTTCCTTACTTTCTTTAAGAGATTTGTTCATTTCTTGCATTTTTTCTTGGTCTTTTCCTCTATTTCTTCAATTTTTGTTCGTTTTTCCTTCCATTTCTTTCTCATATCATATTTGAGGGCCTCTATCATTTTAATGAAGTTATTCTTTAAATCATTCTCTTCTGCTTCATATGCTTTGGTGTGTTCGGGTCTAGTTGGTGTAGAGTCCCCAGATTCTGGTGCTGTCATACTGGTCTTTCTATTATTGGATGTTTTCTTGTATTACCTTCTTGCCATTGCTTCTTCCAGTGGGTGCTGGTGGACTCTCTCTCTCTCTCTCTCTCTCTCTCTCTCTCTCTCTCTCTCTCTGCTCTCCCAGTGGGTATAGGTGGGTCAGGAGTTCGATTTCTACAACTCTGGATGTTCCAAGGTCTCTCGGAGGTCTCTCCTCCAACAGAGGGCAGGTAATGGAGTCCAAAGATTAGGTGAGCGCAGCCTCAAGGTGGTCCTGTGCAGGTCCAATGTGCTCAGAGCAGACCCAGGAAGTTCCATGGAGGTGAAGGGGTTGTTGAACCCACACTCTGGCCCAAATCTCAACCAGAGCAGTGGGCCAGCAGGAAAAGGGGTTGGGAGTGGATGGTGTATGGAGCAGAGTACCAGGAGTATACTATCCAGGGCCAGGATACAGGAGGAGGGAGATATGGAGCTAACCCAGTGAGTTCTCAGGGAAGGATGTTGGGGGGCGGGGAGGCATTCAGCCTGAATTGGTCCCAGATTCACCTCTGGTGGAGGGCCCGAGATGATGGGATCCAAAGATCAGGCCAGTCTGGCCTCAAGGTTGCCCGCCCCGTGTGGATAGGTGAGTCAGTGTGCTCGGTGCAGACCCAGGAAGTTCCACAGAGGCAGAGGGGCTTTTGGACCCGCACTCTGGCCCAATGCTCACCCAAAGCAGCGTACCAGCAGGACGGGGAGTTACCATTTTTTTTGAAGTGAGTGGGGGAGTTCATGTGTTAAACTACTTTCCTAAGTGTAGTTAAGGTAGAAGTTTGTAATTAATAAATGTAGGAAGGGGGTTGAAATGCAGAGACACTGAGCTTCACTCTCTTTTGCTGTTGAAGCAGCTGGGAACAGTGTCACAGAAGTCATGGCAATCTGCATATGCTGCAGAAGGAAAACTTTGTGTTTAAAAGTGAAAGGCCCGCGGAGGGCTTGGACCCTCACACCCCGACTCAGGAAAGGCGGCCCTCCCCAAATCACTCACGAGAAGCGGTCTTGATGCAGAAGCATGAGGTCTTTTACATTCCAGTGCACTGGGGTCCACAGCCACACTCCACGTGGGGTAGAGGACTGGGAGCCCTTGGTACAGGGTTCAGACAGCTTTTATAGGATTACAACAAAGCCTGTGCATCATAAACCAATCATCTCATAGCATACAGTGTGGACCAATCAATTTGAACTATCCAAGCCGCGCTTTGCCCAGGAAGTCTGCTTTCGCTAGGGCTTCTGGGTAGTGTGGCACGGTTCATTTCCTGTTCTCATTCACTCACAGGTGCTGTCGGTAACCCACCCTGTAGTAAACAGTCAAGAATGACCTTTTGCCTACTTACTGCTAGAGGGCAGAGTCTAGGGAAAATTAGGCTAAATTTTTCCATCCTTACAAAAGATTAACATTATTACTACTGGAAGTGAAAGCTGACACCTTACAGTGCATTTCCGGACTTCTAAGGCTTCCATGAGTACTCAGTACTTCATTGCTACCTGGCCCAGATAAAAGAGACACATCCCGACAAGCCCAGCGCCTGCAGAGACAGACGCAGGAAAAAACATAATACTGATGCTATTTGACAAAATGAACGACTCTTTTTAAATTGGTTTTGTTTTTCACGACGGGGTCTCTCCGTATAATGTCCGCTGCCCTGAGACTCCCTTTGTAGACCAGGCTGGCCTCAACCTCACAGAGATCTGCCTGCTTCTGCCTCCAAAGTGTTGGTATTAAAGGCGAAAGCCGCCACCATCACCCACCTAAGAATAAAAAGAGGAAAACTAGGAATAAAACACGATGCCGGAGAAGTTAGGGCGCACATGGAAACACAAGGCCAGCTGTGTTCAGTGGGGACACTGAGAACTTTCCCTCTAAGGCCTGGATCAGCACAAGGTTGCTGCTGTGGCCACATCTGTTCAACAAATGAAAGAGATGACCCCTCCCCCTCACCAGCCCCAGCACTAAAAGAAACCAGCCCGAGCCTCACCTAGACAGCACAGTGGAGCCGCCTGGTGGTTGAAACTGAGGTGACCAAGCCCTGACACTGTGAACCAATAAAGACATGTGACAAAGTGAACTGTTTTTAATGATGATGCCTTCCAGACTGGGTGGAGAGGACAGGCCAGTGGAGGAGGCATTCATGTGGCAACCCCAGGCAATACACAAGAGAAACACTGGCAGATTTCCCTCTGCAACCAGGATCAACACAGGTGCTGCTGTGGCTGCTCCTGCTCAGTGTTGCCTTAGGAGTCCTATGCAGAGCAATTAGGCAAGACAGAGAAATGAAGGGTGGCCAGGCAGCTGTAAAATGAGTCTGTAGATGACATGAACTTATCTATAGAAAAATCCTAAAAATTCTTCAGAAATTCCTGAAACCTATGAGCAAGCAACCCCACGTGAGCTGTACTTCTGTGAACGAAGAGTGACCACAAACAGTTGAACGTCCTGTTTTGTCACGTGCACGGAGAAAGAAATAGGTGGGGTTGGGCAGAACAGAAGGGAATGACTGCATTAAAAATGGCTTGGGAATAGACAGTGGTGATGACCACATGAAAAATATGGGTGTGTTCATGCCACTTACTTTCCCGCTTCGAAATGGCCAAATGGGAAATCCCATATATGTCTCAAAAAAAAAGGAAGAAAGAAAGAAAGAAAGAAATGTTAACAAGAAAAGGAACTTTGTGTGAGGTCACCCTGTGAATGCCACTCTCGGGATAGAAAAAGTCCAGGTCAGCCTTTTAGCATGGTTTCTTACATGTGTGCCTCAAACAACTATTTAGTAAACAGTGATGTGCACAGGGAAAGAGGGAAGTCCCTTTTCCTGTCACTCTTCCTCCCTCCACATGGATGACTGGGTCCTACTAGGCGGCATTGGGGTTACATGAATCAGTTATGAATGGACTATGTCTGAGAATATGACAGGGGAGTCAGAGCATCCGGTTTTGGGGGGGGAGAGCTCACAAAACTTTGTTTCCAAGGATTCTGAGAATTATCTATATAATTGATCCACAACCTAAGCTCTTCACTCCTGCAATTCTGTTCGCTGTACTGATGTCTTCTTTTTGCTTTTGGAAACCAAGTCTCTATTTATGTCCCGGCCTTTCCTGGGACGCACAACTTTATCCCAGGATTACAGTCATGAGTCACCATGCTGGCTGTAACTGAGGGGTGACTGGTCACTTTCGTAACATAACTTTTCCCCTTGTTGTACCAGAATAATAAAGAAACTCCCCCAAATCTGCTGTAGGAAGAGGACAGAGGTTCAGCCATTCACTACAACCAGGTTGACCGGGATACTGATCCTTGAGCTGATAGGGGTGAACGCCTCACACTGATACTCTCCAGCATCCTCCATCCTGACAGGGTCTATGCTGAGTCGGCACTTCGTCGGGGACAGCGTCATCCTCTCGGTGAGCTGCAGAAGTCGGTTATTGAACATCCAACGGATGGAGAGTCCAGTACTACCTGACAGGCAGGTGAAAGCCACAGAGCTCTGCGCTGTAACTATGGTGCTGGTGGCTTGGACAAAGGGCTGTGTCACAGGTTCTGTGAAGAAAAAGCGGGTGTGGAAAGAACAGTAACCCTGCAGAGATCTGGACCATCCCCTCTGTAGTCAATGGACATTTAGTAAATCCTTTGGGGCTGTGACAATAGATAGAGTTCTTGTGGTTTGGATCTGTCACCCATGGCCTGTGTGGACCTGGTTTAGCCTCTGAGTTTTCTGGTCTCTGTTCCCCTTCACAAGTGATCACTGTCAGGGCCCCGAATTCAGCTTAGATATGAGCAATGACCTGACCTTGGGATGGGGAGCTGTTCAAATCAGCAACATCTTTTACTACTTACCTGCAGAACAGAATTCCATAGGCTGGACCCCTAAGGACAAGGAGCTGCCTAGAGACCTGTTTCCTCTGTCCCTCTCCTTGGGCAGCCTGGCCTTCCTCTGAAGTCTCCTAAGCCCTTAAGAAGAGTTGGCTTAGTCCTGGCACCTGTCCACTGAGATTCAGGTGTAAAAGGTGCCCAGGTGACCTAGCTAACTGCAGCTGTCATAACAGTACACAGCTGGTTCCACACTCTATGGGTCTTGGACAGTCAGTTAAAGCCGTGTTCCATGTCAGCTCTGACAGGAAGCCAAGTTCTAGCCCTGGAGACAAAGTCTCCATGGTCACCTGGAGCTCAGTCTGGAATAGATGTCTGGACCCAGAGCTTCCTAGAACTCACCTCACCATGACGATTACATAGTTTCCCTGATAGTTCTTGCTCAAGGACATGTTCATGGTGAGCACCCCAATATTCTGAAGCTGACTGACATCCTTGGGCTGAGTTACTCAGCACACATCGTCCTCTGTAGGTGATGAGGGATTATGGTCTATTTTAGTAATGTCTACCCTATTAGTGTCCTGCACTAAGTGCTCAAACCCAAATGTGGAGGCAGAATGTAGAGAGGAGGCAATTAGCCCACAATACGTCCTGTACGTAGAAAGGAAAATTAACCCCACCAGAGTCCAGAGATCATGAAAAATCACTTACTGTATATGTGAAGGTCCACGTGTGTTTCTTGAATTTCAAGGTCTGTACTTAAGGTTTGTAGGGAATAGAATCCAGCATCCTTCTGGGTGGTGTTGTGGATTAGCAGGGATCCATTGGGGTACACAGTCACCCTACCAATGTATGCAGGTCTGATCCAAATGTTATTAGTCATATCCTTCCGTGCAATTACACGGCTGTTGAACATGGTTGCCTTCAAGTACCAGAAAAAGGCTTCGAGGTTCTCGGGGACATTAAGAGCAAGTAGTAGAGCATCTTCCCCTTCAACAACATTGGGTGTCAATAACTCAATAGAGAGCTGGGCAGCAGTAGGAGGAAGCCTGCAGGCTAAAAGGGAGGGTGGAGGTAAAAAGAAACAAATTCATCAATACCAAGCAAGACCTTTGTCTTTGGTGAAAAGCCTGATTACTAAGATTCTTATACTATCAATCAGCCAAGGTGGGCGGGAGTGTCTGTCAAACTCCAAGGGAGGGCGTAGCAAAAGTCCTCCATGGCCTCTGTGCACCTGACTGTGTCACTTCCTGTGGGGAAAGCAGCCTCCTCGTGTGTTTACACACTCACCGTTCTCACATGCCTGCTCACGCTCAGAAAATGTGGAGGTGGAGTGCCTTACCTCACTTCTTCCTCTACAGACCCTAGTCTTTCCTCTCTGTGACCAGTCAACCCCTGACTTCACTTCCAGATGATGGCTTCCTAGTCTGTCTTCCACTCCACTAGAGCCAGGGCTTTATTAGAAAAGGTAGTTTGATCTTTCTGGAAAACCTGATACACGGACGGGCTGAGCTACATGTGGGTGGATGGAAGAAGGAACGTCTGTTGATGGATATTCACGTCCAGCTGTTTATGAAGTCGTCATGCATGGAGCCACTGACACCAGTTACAACTCCAGCTTGCATTAACTTATGCGTGTGAGTGCAGTGGGTGTGGGTGGGTGTGAATGTGTTTGTGCATAAGCATGTGTGTGCCAGCCTGTGCGTATGCGTGCATCCAGGTAACCACACCTAGATTGAAGCCTTTCCTCCTTCCACTTTAGGAGATTCCAGCCAGGCTCTGATCTCCTCCCCCTCCCCCTTACACTATCAGACAATGTTCTCCTCTCCTGTGAACAGCAGCCACTACCAGGGGCTGCACCATTTGCAGAGAAATGCACAGTGGACCTCCTTGGGGGCGGCCATCTTGCCTGCCCTCCCTCTGTGGAGAAAACCTTTTCCCGCAGCACTTCGCCACAGACTTCCACTCACTGGGCTCTGCCTCCTGACAGGCAGGGGCCCTTCTGAGGTTAATGTGAATGTTGTCGGGAATGGTGTCCAAGGCCATCCTCTGTCCTTACAACTCTTAGTCCTGCCTGGTATCCCATGGGTTCTCTATGTATTTTTCAGACCATGCAATGAGCAACAAGGCCGGCGATCATCTATCTCTGTGCCCTAAGACGACAACAGCTCACCCCAGGGCTGCACTCTGCTCTGTTCTCCCAATGGGTCCTTCATGACATGGAATCCTAGCAAAGCACCTGCCTTCTGTTCCCAATGCTCTGATAAGGTGGGATTTACTCCCCACAGAAAGGTGACATGAAACCTGGAAATGGACTGGCTAAAAATGGCCAGGAAAGGGGACAGAACCACTCTCAGTCACAGGCATGAGACTCAGGAGGAGATTCCATGAGGATATGAAGCAGGGGTTGACCTGAGTCCTGGAGAGAGATTGATGGTTCCATCACACCAGGAAGAGTTTCAGAGGGACCCTCCATCTTCCAGTGACAGGTTAGCCATGCCATGGGTCTCTGCATGGTATACAGCTGGTGTTTGTCTAGTGAAGTCCCCATGGGATGTGCTAGGAGGTAGCGGGTAGTAACATAGGATCCTCTGGCAGAGAAGTGTGCTTAGAAACACAGGAAGCAACCAGGATGTCTAAGAAAGCTGTTAAGTGACCTCCAGGACTATAGGTACATGGATGGAAGTTAGGCTACAATTAAGCTAATGCCTCCTGGAAATAATTTTCTAGGTATTGATTTTGGGTCCTTCTGTAGCCACCTAATGATTACTAGAGGAACTGTACCTTGGGTCTGGGAGCTGTCCAGATCAGCACCTCTGTTACAATTTCCCAACAGGAGAGCATTCCAGAGCTGGACCCCAGAGGACAATCACTTGCAAAAAGGACTCTGTCTTTTGTTTCCCCTGACCTTCATGTGAGGGCTCATAATTCCATCGGAACAGTTAGCTAGTTGTCTGGGCAACTGACTGGTTCTGCTCTCCATGTGCTCTCTCTAAGGAAGATACCCAGGTGACCTAAGCTAAGTTCCCATGACAGTGCACTAGCTGATTCCACATAACAATAAAATCTCATTCCTTGTCAACTCTAACAGAAAGTCTAAACCAAACAGTAACTGAAAGCTCCCAAGTGTCATCCAGAGTCTAGCCAGAGACAGAAATTTGTAGCCAGGGTGTCCTGGCACTCTCTGTGAGGATCGAATGACTTCATCAGCCAGCCACACCCTGCCTGGCTCACACAGTGTCTTTCTGGGGACAAGTGCATGGTGAGGGCTCCAAGTGTCTTGACTGCAGCTGACCTCCAGGAGTTGAGTTTACCAAGCATAGGTCTTCAAAGAACATGTAGGGAGAAGTGAGGGGTTCTGACACATTAAATTTTGTCTACCCCATGTGTGTCTTTTAGTACTGGTCCAAACCCTCGAGTGAGCACACAATGTGGAGGGTAGCAGACACAGTCTTGGGAGTTTGGTGTATGAAGTAGGATAAGCCACACCCAGCAGCTGGAGGTCATAAAGAATTACTTACTGTACACATGGAGTTGTAGATGTGCTTTTTCAACTTTGAAATCTCTGTTTAATGTTTGCAGGGTGTAGATGCCTGCATCTGTCTCCATGACATCCTGCAGCAGAAGGGATCCATTGTTGTACACCATTGCTCTTTTGCTGTAGTCAGGCCACTGGGTGATGTAATTCCTGTCCCTGCTATATTCTGCAATTTTTAAAATCTGGGTGCTATACCCTGACTTGTACCAGGCAAAGGCTTGGAGATCTTCTGGCAGATTATGAACAAGGAGAAGAACGCTTTCCCCTCTAGCAGCATTCTGTGGCACTGGCTCTATCATGAGTGGGACAGAAGTGAAGGGGTTACAGCACACAGAAAGGGAGGCTGAAAGACAAAAGAAAAACAGTTATCATAAGGAGTGTTGTGCTTGGTGGAAAGAAACGGATGACAGACATCACTCAGCCTAAAGATGAAGGTGTGGGTGTTTCTAACCCACATGGTGGATGTCAACAACATGACCTTCATTTCATGAGTGCCCCTGAATATCATTTCCTCTATGTGGAACTCTCTTCTGGGGTGTCTACACAGCTGCCTCTCTCTCTCCTGTCAAGTACTGCACACTGAGGTTGAGATTACGCCTCCTCTGAACTTTTTCTACAAAGACCCCACAACCTCACTTTATATATTTATCAATTTCCTTTGTGACTCCAGTCACAACCCCTGACTTCAACTTCTACATGTCCTTGCTTCATTTCCCTGAATCCCACAAGTGTAGTACTGGATAAGGGCCAAAGGAACTCTGATATTCTTGGTGTTAGAAAAGACTTAGATTCTAGGATTGTTGGTATTATGTCAATGTCACACAAGCTACAGTCAATTTGAAAGAGGAGGACTCAATTGAAAATGCCACCCCCCATGTTGGTCTGTGGGCAAATCTATAGTATGATATTTTAAATTGGCAATTGATGTGGGAGGGTCCAGCCCACTGAAAGCAGTTCAGCTCCTATCCTAAGGGTTCAAGGGTTAGTTATATAAGAGACAAGGCTGAGCAAGCAATGAAGAACAAACTAATAGGCATCACTCCTCCACTGACTGTCTCTGCAACCGTTCCTAGATTGTATTTGCGATACTCATGTTTGGAGAAAATAAATGCCCGTTTGACATGGACAGCCAAAAACCATTGCTCCCACTCAAAGCTAAGGGCAAAATGTGCCCTTATGGTAGCTAGTAGTTGAGCCTAGGACAATTGAATATGACCAAGGCATCCTAGTGATGGCCTTTCTGTTAAGATGCCGTGGTTTCCTCAAGAAGCTCCTGTCTGGTGCCTACATGGTCTTTCTCGCTGTAATTTGCATTGAGATCCCCACGAGATTGAGCATAATGTGACATCTTAGGCTGAGTGACTTTGCATCAAAGACTTACTTGATAGAGGAGCAGTCAGATGATAAAGTATGATCTATCAACATTTGTCTCCATCATGTGTGTCCACCACTCGGTGCTCAAACACCATCATGGAGACACTAATCACGGGCCATAAAAGACAGTGCCGTGTCTAAACACACCACAGAACGCTGAATGATCACTGAGAATCACTTACTGTCTACCAGGAGTTTCACATGCACTAGTCCAACTTTCAGATCTGAGGTCAGAGTCCGTAGGGTGTAGAATCCAGTGTCATTCCTGGTGACGCTCTGGAGCAGCAGGGATCCATTGCTGTACAGAGTCTCTCTACCACTGTGTGCAAGGCCCAGCACAGTTGAATCTGTGGCTATTTTGTGTCGGACAACCTCATAGTTCTTGAAAGCAATCGCACCCTTGTACCAGAAAATGGCTCGAATATTCTTCGGGAGATTGTGAACCACTAAAAGAGCGCTTCCTCCTTCAGCAACTCTGGGTGGAACTGATTCAACAGTTGGCTGGGTGGAGGGATGTTGCCCACAATGGGAGGCTAGAAGGGAAGAGAGATGCATTAGTAGTAGGACTTTTGTATTTGCCTAAGTTGGGGCCCTGTGTCCTGAGCACGTGAGTCCATTGCTCAGTCAAGATGGGTGTCTCCCTGTCCTACTAGGTGAGTCACGGTATGACCTCCATGCATTCAGTGTCCCACACGTGTTATTTTCTCTGTATGACACTCTGATCAGTTGTTAACATGGTCCCACACCCCTGCTCACATTCAATCTGGAATAGGGGGATGACTTCCTGGCTTGTTTCCCTACAAACCTTGACACCTGACTCTGACTTTTCTGTTGCTTATATTTTTCCTCTTGTGGTTCCAGCCAGCACCTGACCTCAGCTTTGAGCTTCCTTGACTCTACTATCTTCAAGTCCACTTCAAATACATTATTGTGAAGACAAGGGTTAATCTCATTTTAGAGAAGGTTCTAACAGCTGTGGAGAATGAATCAATCAATCAATCAATGAATAAGCAACAAATGTTCCAAGGTCCAGCATGTCCTGGGATTTATTTACTTTTTTATATTTATTTCCACTTCATGTGTTCATGATTGCATGCAGGTGTGAACACATGTGCATTCCTACATAGATGTGTATATTGCTAGGTGTGTGCCATAGTATGTGTGGGGCAGAGGACAACTTTGAGGAGTGAGAGGTATCTCTCCTTCCACCACATGGGACATGGTGACTAAACTCAGGTCACGGGGCCTGGCAGAATTTGCCTTCACTCAATGAAACAGCTCACTCACCCACCCAGGTCAGATTCTTTTCTTTGTCACTTGTTTTAGTTGGGAGCATCCGCCTTCAGAATACAGCAGCCAAACCTGATTGTCATTGAATAGAAAGCAATGCCCGTTTCAACCGTTCCCATTACCATTTCCTGTTCACTGATAACTTCCTGCTGCAGGACCTCTGTCCACACCTTGATTCTCCTTCAGACTCTTGTCCTTCTTAGAGACTCCACCAAGGGCCTGAGGTACTCCCTCCCACACATGGCTAGTGAATTATCTTCGCTTATGAGACTAACCCTTGCCCATGGTGCCCCTTGGACAAGGTAAGAATATTTATCCCTTTGACAAGGCAGGGTCTCCAAAAGATGCAGCACTGTTACCATACTCCTCTGTCCCACAGTCAGCTCTGCTGTCTTGTCTCCCTCTGAGCTAAGCCATGTACAAGGCAGAAGCCCATCAAAGATCCACATGGACTATGGGTGGGTCCTTATCTGAGGCAACTCTCCCTCCTCTCCTTGGCATTAGTTGGTGATTCTCTTCCCATATCTCTTTATAGTATAGCCCTCCTGACCACACAGTGACCAGTGGGTCATGCCTATGTCCCAAAGCCTAACAGCTCACCCCAGGGTTGTCCTCTGCTGTGCCCTGGCCTTGGCTCTGTAGCACTGAGGAGGGGAACTATCTCATCCCTATGTATTCTCTGTGGCACAGAAACTCTGCTTGTGTCCTCGGTGCTCTGGTAAGGTGGAATTTGCTCTCAGACAGACAGATGTCTGTGATGGCAAGAAAGGGGATCCTCAGGGGAAGAACACTCGTTGCTTGTCACTAGGATGACCATTCAAACTCTGATCCAGGACAGACATCCAGGAACAGTTGTATCTAGAGATCCATGTCCCGTCTGGTGATATGGAAAGGAGGTGTAGTCTCACCCAGCTGTTGCGGGTTTCAAATAGAAACCTGAATTGTCGGCTGAGGTATGGTTCAGGTTTGCCCATGCCCACCCTGACATCTCTATCCTTTGCTTGGCAATTGCTCTGTGGTCACCCTCTCCTTCTCTATGCTAGAAGGAAGGAGGCTGAACTTGGTCCCCAAGCACAGTACTTTTCTCAGCCAATGGAAGCACCAGTAGGTCACATTGGCCTGTGGGAGGGACCTCCAGGTCTATTGGGACAATTTCTTTCATCTTCTCCAGGAAACCAGAACCTCGGGGTTCGACTGTGAGCTAATATCACCACCTGGCGATCAACAGGATGACTGTAGTTCATGTCTGGGGGATGTAAATAACATCAAAGCCTGTTGCTATTTGCCTGCATGAGGGAATTCCCTGGGGTGAACCCCAGAGGACAAGCACACACCAAGTGGACCTGTGACAATCTGCTCTTCACCTTGGGGACCTTGATCTTCCTGTGAATCCTCATAAGTGCATCAAAAGTGTTAGCTGGTGGCCTGGGCCTCTGTCTAGCTCTGACCTCCATGATGAGTCTCATAAGGGGGCACCCAGGTGAACTAGCTTAAATGTGGTTCTCAGAACAGTGCACTAGTTGGTTTCACATGCTGTGATATATGGACATCCAAAAACTGTTGTTTTCTCTCAGCTCCACAATGAAGTAAGTGTCCAAACCTGGGAAAATACTCCCCAAGGTCACCTATAGTCAAGCCTAGGAGGGAGGGCTGGAGACAGGGATTCCTGGTGCTCACCTATCTCTGAGGGTCCCAAGATATGCCTGATGTCAACAGTGACCTTGTCAGTGCCATGTTCATGGCGAGAAGAACAAAGACAAGACAAAGTCTAATGCACTTGAATTGACTTACCCTTTCCCATCTCACACACACACACACACACACTTCTGAGGGTTCAGTCAAGGCAAGAGTTGATCTATGGCTATTTGTCTCTAGTGTATGTGTCCCCCACTAAGTGCTCAAACACCAACATGGGACACAGCACAGAACGAGAAAGTATGCACAGGTCAGACAAGAGATTCCTGTGTGTACATACAAGCCAGGACTGGATGATCACAACAGTCACTTACTGTCCAATTGGAGTTGCACACGTATTAGTTTAGTTTTCAACTCTGTACTCAGGGTTCGTAGGGTGTAGAATCCAGTGTCATTCCAGGTGACGTTCTGGAGCAGCAGGGATCCATTGCTGTAAACTATCTCTCTACCGCTGTGAGCAGGGCCAAAACCAGTTGTATTCTTGGCTATTTGGTGCCAGGCAACCTCAATGTCCTTGGACACAATCCCTCCTTTGTACCAGAAAAAGGCTCGAAGATTCTTCGGGAGATGGTGAGCCACTAGAAGGACACTTTCTCCTTCTGCAATGCTGGATGGCACTGTTTCAATAGCGGGCTGGGCACAGGTGGAAGGGCACCCACAATGGGGGGCTAGAAGGGAAGACAGAGGCCAATCAATAACTGGACCTCCCTATTTGGCTAAGATGAGGCCCTGCGTCCTCAGCAGGTGTGTCCATTGCTTAGCTTAGGTGTGTGAGTGGGTGTCTTCCCGTCCTTTACTGACTTCCATGTCCTCCGTGTCCCTGCACTTGTCATTTCCTATGTGTCTATTGCCATCCATGCACAAAACGTAAGTCCAATTGGACCAAAGACCTCAACATAAATTCAGCCATACTGAACCTCTTAGAAGAGAAAGTAGGGAGTACCCTGGAGCGAATTGGTACAGGAGTCCTCCTGAACATAACACCAGTAGTGCAGAAACTGAGGTTGAGAGTTAATAAATGGGACCTCCTGAAACTGAGACGCTTCTGTAAGGCAAAGGACACCGTCAGCTACACAAAACAGCAGCCCACAGAATGGGAAGCGAACTTCATCAATCCCACATCTGCCAGAGAGAGCTGATCTCCAAAACATGCAAAGAACTCAAGAAGCTAGTCACCAAAAAGTTTCTGTCCCCTAGAACATACAGCGATAGCCTCTGACATCTGAAAATACCAGCTGTCCCTGGGACTGCCCCTTGCTATGTTCTGGCCTTGGTTTCAAAGCTACCGCAAGGGTAAGTCTACACAACTGCATGACACAGAAAACCACCAAGGCACCCAAGTCTTCAATGTGCCCTCAGTGCTCTGCAAACATAGACTGCTCCCACCAGGAAAGCGACAGACATATCTGTTTCACTCTAAAAGGACCACTGATGGGAAGAGAACAAATATATTCTCAATGGAGACACTAATCAGGTTTCTGACCAAGGACAAAGGCTCAGAATGTGTCAGGGGTGTCATATCCTGGGTTTGTGGGAGGAGGTGACTTGACTCCTGGAAAATGGCTGTGAGGTCTTTCGTCCAGGCAAGATTTTAAGACCATGCATATGCTTCCTCTGCTGAACTGAGCAATGGGTCTTCCCATGTGCTCCATGGTCTTTCTGAGATGTCCTGGGCCTCTGTCTAACAGGTTCCCCTTGGATATCATGCCATATCCAAAGGAAATACATAAAGAGGGAAAAGTAACATGACCCTCTAGGAGTGTTGCACATGCATTCAGAGGCCAGTAGATCTGAGCCCACTGACCATGATTCTGGGTCTGTAAGAACAGCAGCGGAACCAGGTTCCTAGGTAAATTTCTGGTGCAAGCAAATACTTTTCTGCCATTTGATTGTCCTAATGACATCCCTGGTAATCACTGGGGAGCTAAAACTCATGTCTGGAAGCTGTCCAGATCACCATAGCCTGTAGCCATTTTCCTACAGGTCAATGAGTAGGACCCAGAGTATACGTGTCAGGTGGATGTACCCCCTCTCCCTGTCCTTATTTTCTCTGACCTTCCTGAAAAGTCTGATAAGCCCATCAGAACATACAGGTAATGAACTGAGCACCTACTAGGCTTAGGTATCCTTGTTTAGTCTGTGAAGAAGATGTCTAAGGGACCTACGCTAACCACATAGCTCAAGACAGTGCTTTGGCTGGTTCCAAAGACGCAGGACTTGGACCATGAAAAAGCATGGTCTCCTGCTATCAGGAAGTCAAAATCCAACCTTTATGAACTGATTCTCAAGGCCACCTGTAGTTGATTCTGGGACACAGGTATGGGGCCAGGGTGTCTTGCTGCTCACATCTCTGTGAGGGTCCCATGTTTTCCTCCATCAGGTCAAATGTTCATTCCCCTTGGGTCTTTCTTAAGGACACAATCCTGGTAAGAAACCCAACAGTCTAGACAAAGGCTGATATCCTTGGCTAAATTACCACCACCTGCCCACCTGTCTACAAAGTGAAGTCAAATGAAGAATTCTGATCTATTGCCATTATTCTAAACCATGAGGGTCCTGCACTGAATCCTCATACCCCAAAATAAAAGGGCAGTCCACAGGAAAGGAAGGCACAGGACCTTATATCGTGAGTGTCCAATGGAATGAATCCAACCCACAACCCAGAAAACACAAAGAACCACTTACTGTACACGAGAAGGTACATGGATGTTGTTGACACAGTATCTGCAAGTTTATTCAAGGTTTGTAGGGTATAGATTCCTATATCCTTCTTTGTGACATTTCTGAGCAGCAGAGATCCATTGCGGTACACTGTCTCTCTACCACTGTGCAGAGGCCCTGGAACACTTAAATCATTGTTCAGTGAGTATATTGCTATTATATTGTGTATAATTTTCACCTCTTTGTACCAGGCTAAGGTTGTGAGATTCTCTGGCAGATCTTGGACCAGGAGAAGGACGTTTTCACCTTCAACCACATGGGGCGGGACAAAGTCAATGGTGACGTGAGCAGTGGTGGTGGAGAGGTGCCAGCATGTTAAAATGGATGCTAGAAGGCAACAGATAAAAAAAAATCAATGTTGAGCAGATTTCATCATCACTCAGCTTGTATGTGAGGGTACCAGTGTGTCCACCCTCCTTGGCAGACATGAGCAACATGACTTCCACCCACTCAAAGCCCCAGACTGTGTCACTGACTCTCTTAGGAATACTCTGCTCAGGTGTCTGCCTGGCTCCCCCAAACAGTGCCCCATATTGCTTCTCACATAGAGCATTTGGTATGAGGAACAACGCCCCTCTGAACTCCTTCTCTGGACAGGCTTCACTTTCTGACTTTTTATCTGTTCCTTTGCAATTCCAAACAACTCATGAATTCATCTTGCAGATGCCCTGACATCAATTCCACAAAAGCCAGGGAATTGTGAGGACAGGGATTAGTGTGAATGTTTTGGAAAGTTAAAAGCTCCTGGAAAAGACGTGTAGCTATAACAAAAGGGAAAAGAAAATGGGAAAGAAAATGGGAGGGAGAGAGAAGGCAAAGAGGAAGGAAGGAAAGAAGGAAGCAAGCATGGGATTAACTGGATCGTTGTCAAATTGGAGTTATTGACAAGAATTGCACTCAAGTGTGATTAAGTTTTTTGCAATTGTTCTTGTGTTGTATCTGTGCAGTTATGAAGGCAGGTGTATGCATACGTGTGTATGAAATGTATGCCCTGCCCACAAAGAGCCTGCCCTCCCCCCACCCCATGCCCTACCTAGCCCACTGCCCCACTGCTCTGGTTGAACACTGAAACAGAGGGTGGATCCAACAATCCCTCCATCGTTGGGGAACTTCCTAGAGCTGCTCTGAGCACACTAGACCTGCCTATCCACGTGGGACCACCCTGAGTCCCCGCCTGCCTGATCTCTGACCCCCACCACCACCTGTCCTCTTCCAGAGCTCCGGGCCCTGTCCAGAGAGCTGCCTATCTGTGCAGGACCTTGAGTCCCTACCTGCCAGATCTTTAACCCCCATCACTATGCCCTGCCTGAAAATAGACCTCCTAGAGATCTTGGACCACCCAGAGCTACAGACATTGAACTTCTGACCCACCTAAGCCTACCTTGGGAGTAGGAGAGAGAGAGAGAGAGAGAGAGAGAGAGAGAGAGAGAGAGAGAGAGAGAGGGGAGAGAGAGAGAGAGAGAGAGAGAGAGAGAGAGAGAGACCCACCTGTACCCACTGGAAGAAGCAATGAGAAGATGGCAAAAAAAAAGAAAACACCTAACAACAGAAAGACAAGCATTACACCACCAGAATCTAGGGACTCTACACCAACTAGATCTGAACACCCCAAAGCAGATGAAGCAGAAGAGAATTACTTAAAAAAATATCTTCATGAAAATGATAGAGGCCTTCAAAGATGATGTAAGAAAATCCCTCAACGAAATTGAAGAAAAAAACAAACCCAAAAAAAAAAAACCGCATTAAATGAACAAATCTCTTAAAGAAAGTAAGGAAAGCCAAGAGAAAACAAACAGATGAAGGAAACAGTTCAAGACTTCAAAACTAAAATAGAGACAATAAAGAAAACACAAACTGAAGAAATCCTAGAAATAGACAAATGGGCAAATGATCAGGAACTACAGACACAAGCATAACCAACAGAATATAAGAGATGGAAGAGAGAATCTCAGGCGCAGAAGATAAACTAGAGGAAATAGATTCATCGACCAAAGAAAATCTGATATCCAACAAATCCTTAACATAAAACATCCAGGAAATGTGGGACACCGTGAAAAGGCCAAACCTAAGAAGAATAGGCATAGAGGAAGGCAAAGAAGCCAAAATCAAAGGTGCAGAAAACATATTCAATAAAATCTTTGAAGAAAATTATCCCAATCTGAAGAAGGACATGCCCATGAGAGTACAAGAAGCATACCGAACACCAAATAGACTGGACCAAAGAAAAAAGACCCCTGGACACAAAATAATCAAAACACCTAACATACAGAACAAAGAAAGAATACTAAGAGCAGCAAAGGAAAAAGGACAGGTAACATATAAAGGCAGACCTATCAAAATTACACCTGACTTCTCCATGGAAACTCTCAAGGCCAGAAGGTCCTGGATAGATGTTCTACAAATTAAGAGCCCAGGGATGCCAGCCTAGGCTATTATACCCAGCAAAACTCTCAATCACTATACATGGAGAAAACAAGATATTCAATGACAAAGCCAGATTTTCACAATGCATATCTACAAATCCAGCCCTACAGAAAGTTCTGGAAGGAAAACTCCAACTCAAGGAAGTTAACTACACTCACAAAGACATAGGCAATAGATAATCCCACTTCACCAGAACCCAAGGGTAAATAAAGCAGGGTGAATATACTCACAGTACCAACAACAACAACAAACCCAAAACAAACAAGAATTAACAATCAATGGTACTTACTTTCCCTCAACATTAAGGTCTTAACTCACCTGAAAAAAAAAAAAACACGCAGGCTTCTGCTGCATACAAGAAACACATCTGAGCTTCAAAAACAGACATGACCTCAGGGTAAAGGGTTGAGAAAAGATCTTCCAATAAAATGGAACCAAGAAGCAAGCAGGTGTGGCTATCCTAAAATCTAACAAGTTAGACTTCAAACCAAAATCAATCAAAAGAGATGAAGAAGGTAATTTCATATTCATCACAGGAGCAATCCATCAGCACAAAGTCTCAATTCTGAACATCTATGTCCCAAATACAAAGACACCCACATTCGTAAAAGAAATGCTACTAAAACTCAAAGCTCACATAAAACCTCACACACTCATAATGGGAGACTTCAACACCCCACTCTCACCGCTAGACAGGACCAGTCAGAAACTTAACAAAGAAATAAAAGAACTAACAGAAGTTATGTCTCAATTGGGTTTCACAGACATCTATAGAACACGAAAGAATATACCTTCTTCTCTGTCCTACATGGAACCTTCTCTAAAATTGACCACATACTAGGCAACATAACAAACCTCAACACATACAAAAAAAATGAAATAGTCCCCTGTATCTTATCAGACCACCATGCTTTTTTTATATATATAATTTTTTTATTTAATTTTATATAACAAAGTCCAATTAAATGAAGACAAACATTTATACACAATATTTGGGAATTTGGGCGTCGTTCTTTCCAAACTACTTCCTGCTGGTAAGGGGCGCTGTCTTGGGGGATTTGAAGAAGATTCAGATATCCTAGCTGTAGTCTGTAGGGCTGTTTTGTCCAGCTGTTTGGAATGTAGGATCAGCTTGTACTCTGTTTCAGGCACAGACCACCATGCTTTAATGTTGGAACTCAGAACAACACAAATCACAGAAACCATACAAACTCATGGAAACTAAACAATGTGCAATTGCACCATACCTGGGTCAAATAAGAAAGGAAGGAAGGAAGGAAGGAAGGAAGGAAGGAAGGAAGGAAGGAAGAAAGAAAGAAAGGAAGGAAGAAAGAAATTAAGGACTTCCTAGAATTCAACAAGAATGAGGACACAACACACCCGAACTTACGGGACACTTTGAAAGCAGTGTTATGAGGGAAGTTCATGGCACTAAGTGCACATATGAAGAAAAAAGGGATAGTCACATTAGAGAATTAACAGCGCAACTGAAAGCCCTAGAACAAAAAGAAGCAAACTCACTCCAGAGGAGTAGATGCCAGGAAATAATCAATTTGAGGGCTGAAATCAATAAAGTAGAAACCAGGAAATATGAAAATTCAATGGAACAAAGATTTGGCTTTTTGAGAAAATCAACAAGATAGACAAATCTTTATCCAAACTAACCAAAAAGCAGAGAGAGAACATGCAAATTAACAAAATCAGAAATGAAAAGGGGAACATAATAACGGACACTGAGGAAATCCACACAATTTTCAGGCCATAATTTGAAAACCTGTACTCCACAAAATTTGAAAATTCAAAGGAAATGGACAAATTTCTGGATAACTATCACTTACTAAAATTAAATCAAGAACAGATAACTTAAATAGACCTATAACCCTTAATGACATAGAAGCAGTCATCAAAAGCCTCCCAACCAAAAAAAAAAAAAAAAAAAAAGCCAAAGGCAAGATGGCTTCAGTGCAGGAAATTCAAGAAAGATATACCAATACTCCTCAAATTTTTCCACATAATAGAAACAGAAGGTTCATTACCAAAATCTTTTTACAAGGCCACAATCACCTTGGTACCCAAGCCACACAAAGACAGAACTAAGAAAGAAAACTACAGACCAATATTCCTCATGAACATTGTTGCAAAAATACTCAATAAAATACTAGCAAATCAAATCCAAGAACACATCAGAGAAATCAACCACCATGACCAAGCAGGCTTCATCCTTGGGTTACAGGGATGGGTCAACATACAAAAATCTGTCAATGTGATCCACCATATAAACAAACTGAAAAAGAAAAACCACATGATCATCTCACTAGATGCTGAAAAAGTCTTTGTCAAAAATCAACACACTTTCATGATAAAGATCTAGAAGAGGTCAAGGATAACAGGCACATACCTAAACATACTAAAAGCAATATATGGTAAACCAACAGCCAACATCAAACTGAATGGAGAGAAGCTTAAGGTGATTCCTCTAAAATCAGGAACAAGACTGCCCTCTCTCTCCATATCTCTTCAATATTGTACTTGAAGTTCTACCTAAAGCAATAAGACAGCAAAAGGAGATCAAGGGGATCCAAATTGGAAAGGAAGAAATCAAACTTTCACTATTTGCAGATGATATGATAGTTTACATAAGCAATCAAAAAAAAAAAAACTACCACAGCTGATAAATACCTTCAGAAAACTAGGAGGATACCAGATAAACTCAAAAAAAAAAAAAGAAAAGAAAAGAAACAGTAGCCCTACTATATACAGACAACAAAGGGGCTGAAAAAGAAATCAGAGAAACATCACCCATTACAATAGCCCCAAACAACATAAAGTATCATGAGGTAACACTTACCAAACAAGTGAAAGACCTATATAGCAGGAACTTTGTGTCTTTAAAGAAAGAAATTAAAGAAGATGCCAGAAAATGGAAAGACCTCCCATGCTCTTGGATAGGTAGGATAAACATAGTAAAAATAGCAATCTTGCCAAAAGCAATCTACAGATTCAATGCAATCCCCATCAAAATCCCAGCGCAATTCTTCACTGACCTTGAAAGGATAATAATCAACTTTATATGGAAAAACAAAAAAACCCAGGATGACCAAAACAACCCTGTACAATAAAGGAACTTCAGAAGGTATCACCATCCCTGACTTTAAAGTTCTACTGTAGATCTATAGTCCTGAAAACAGCCTGGTATTGGCATAAAAATAGAAAGGTAGACCAATGGAATCGAAAATCCTTATATTAACCCACACCACCTACAAACACGTTATTTTTGACAAAACAGCTAAAAGTATACAATGGGGGGAAGGAAATTATCTTCAAAAAATAGTGTTGGCACAACTTGATGATGGTGTCTAGAACACTGCAGATAGACCTATGTCTATCGCCATGCACAAAACTCAAGTCCAAATGGATCAAAGACCTCAATATCAATCCAGCCACACTGAACCTCTTAGAAGAGAAAGTGGGAGACACCCCTGAACAAATTGGTACAGGAGACAGATTTCTGAACATAACTCCAGTACCACAGACACTGAGATCGACAACTCATAAATAGGACCTCCTCAAGCTTCTGTAAGGCAAAGGACACAGTCAACAAGACATAACAGCAGCCCAAGGACTGGGAAAAAACCTTCACCAACCCTATATCTGACAAAGGGCTGATCTCCAAAATATACAAACAACTCAAGAAACTAGTCAACAAAACATCAAATAACCCCATTAAAAAATGGGGTACAGAAGTGAAGAGAGAATTCTCAATAGAGGAATCAAAAAGGCTGAAAGACACTTAAGAAAGTGCTCAACATCCTTAGCTATCAGGGAAATGCAAATCAAAACAACTCTGAGATACCATCTTACTCCTGCCAGAATGGCTAAAATTAGAAACATCAATAACAACTTATGCTGGAGAGGATGTGGAGAAAGGGGAACACTCCTCCACTGCTGGTGGGAGTGCAAACTCATACAGCCATTTGGCAGATCAGTATGGTAGTTCCTCAGGAAAATGGAAATCAGTCTACCACAGGACCCAGGAATCCCCCTCTTAGGCATATACCCAAATGATTCACATCCATGCAACAAAGACATCTGTTCAACTATGTTCGTAGCAGCATTATTTGTAATAGCAAGAACCTGGACACAACCCAGATGCCCCTCAACTGAAGAATGGATAAAGAAGATGTGGTACATTTACACAGTGGAATACTACTCTGCGGGAAGAAAAAAAAAAAAAACAATGGAATCTTGAAATTCGCAGGCAAATGGATGGAACTTGAAGAAACCATCCTGAATGAGGTAACTCAGTCACAAAAAGAGGAACATGGTATGTCCTCACTCATATATGGATTTTAGATATAGAACAAAAGATCAGCAGCGTATAATTCACACCACCAGAGAAACTAGGATACAAGGAAGATTCTGAACGATTCATATAAGCTCCCTCACAAAAGGGGAAAGGGACAAGATCTCCTGAGCATATTGGGGAGGACAGTGAGTGGAGAGGGAGCTAGGAGAAAGAGACGGAGAAGAGAAGAAAACACGTGGGACTAGGAAGATTGAGTCAGGGGAGGAATAGATGTGAGAAAAGAGAGAGAGGGGGAAGAGAGAGAGAGAGATCATAAAAGAGGGAGCCATTATAGGTTTGAAGAGAAAACTGACTCTAGAGAAATGTCCAGAGACTTCTAAGGATGACCCCAACGAACAATTTGAGCAACAGTGGAAAGTCTACCTTAAATGCCCTTCCCTGATAATGAGATTGATGACTAATTGATGATTATTCATCATCATAGAGCCCTCATCTAGTAGCTGATGGAAACAGAAGCAGGCACCCACAACTAAACACTGAGCCAAATTGGAATCCAGATGCAGAGACGGAGGACAAGACCAGGCTACAGAAACACATAGAGACAACTGACCTGAACAAGGAGGAGATAATGGGCCCCCAGACTGATAGCTGGGAATCCAGCATTGGACTGACTCAGACTCCCTGAACATGGGTCTCAGCTAGAAGGCCTGGGCAGTGTATGGGACCTCTGACAGTGGAACCAGGATGTATCCTGGTGCATGAAAGGACTTTGGGAGCATATTCCCCATGGAGGGATACTCCCTTAGCCTAGAGGTAGTAGGCCTAGTCCCTACTCCAAATGACTTGACAGATTTTGTTGATCTCTCCTGGAAGGCATCACCTTACATGTGGAGTGGGCAGGGAGGGGAGGGGAGGGTGGTTGGGGGGCATGGGAGGGTAGGAGAGAGAGAAAGAGGGAGGGAGGAAGGGAGAAAGGGAGGGATGGAGAGAAAATTGTAAAATGAAAATTAAAAATAAAGAGATTAAGTATTTTTCAAAATCTCTTTAGCAAAAAAAAATAAAAAAAGAAAGGAAGGAAGGAAGGATGGAAGGGAGGGAGGAAGGAAGGAAGGAAGGAAGGAAGAAAGGAAGGTGTGCCCTATATCTGCGTAGAGAACAATGTCTCAATGGGTGAAAGTAGAGGTCCATGCCACAGCACCTGTAGGGAAAAGTGTCCCAGGGTCCCCATGTGTGGGTACACGCCACAGCACCTGGGTGGAAGACAGATGAGAGACTGCGTGAAGCTTTTCTCTCCATCCATCATGAGGGAGTAGAGGACTAAATTCAGATTGTCTTATCTTCGCATACTGGGCCATCTCAGTGGTACACCCCTGTTTGATTTCTCTTTTTTTTTTTTTTAATTTTGTTTTCTTATTTTACATATTGATCCCAGTTCCCTCTCACTCACTCACTCCCTCAAAGAGTCACCCTGTCATATTGGGAACAGCATAGTTCAGGAAATTGCAGCTAATGTTATTGACTATGAATAGGCAGTGTCTGAGGCTCTTTCGTGCTTCTCATCACTTCCTGTCCAGTGAGAGCTTCAGGATGCCGAGCCTCTGTCCCTCATTTCTGCACCATGGCTGCACACAGAAACCTGAAGTCTCCTCTCAGACTCCTGTCCTTTTAAGGACACTCCAGCCTGCCTCCAAGTTCCCATCCTCCTACACAGAGAGTGAGTACACTTACCTGTGATCAGAAGCCATTGCCAGGAAATGCAACCGTTGCAGAGAAGCACAGAGGAAGTCTCCATCTCTCTGCTCACCTCGCTGTCCTCCCTTTCAGGAGAACTTCAGCTCCAGCAAGGAGCTCAATCTCTGCAGTTTTCCTCCCTATGAGCTGAGTTTCCTTTCAGGCAGAAGCACTTAGAATCAAACAGGCTTCTGGTGGAGGGATCTGTGTCCAAGGTACTGCTTAATCCTTTCCACTCTTAGAGCAGTCCAACACCCATTTCAACTTCCCTTTATGTTTCTCCTCCAAGCTGCATGTTGAGCAACAAGGCCAATAAGCATCCCCATACCCTGGAGAAAAATTACTCATCCCAGGGCTGACCCCTGCTGTGTCACGTCTTAGGTCTGGCCACACACGGGAGCCTTCCACAAGCCTATATGTCCTTGTGACACAGAAATCCAGCCGAGCACCTTGCCTGCCCAGTGTACTCGATGTGTACTTTAGTAATTCACTGAATAAAGTGACAGAGATGTCTCTGAAGGCTGGAAAGAGACCAGATGAGTGATGACTAGGAATGAAGATCAATGTTTTATCACTAATGTAAGCAGTCAAAGTTCTGTCCTAGGAGAGAGCCCCAGGGGCAGTTCCATGAGGAGTTTCATATTCTTAATGTGGTGAAACAGGTGAGCAATTGTCCTTGGAAGCATTGTGGGCTACATCTTACTATGGAGGGGATCAAGTCAACATTCTAGCATTATGTGGTACCTAACTGTGTTGGGTGAGCCCACGTCCTCTCTGATATTCGTGTGCCATTTTGCCCTTTGCCTAGCTGATTCCCTGGTGGCAATTTTGTCTTCTCCCATGAGAGATGCCCGGAGAGGCAAAACCTTCGGGTTCCCCAATAGAAAGTTCTTCTCAGAAAAAGCAAGCAGCAGGTAGGTCTGAGCAAAGTCTATGTAGGGAGCTCCCAGTTAGTAGGGACAGGGATGGAAGCACGTCTACCCGACAATGTCATGCCTGGCTCGGGGAAGCAGTTTTCTGACGGTGAATGTGTGTCCTGATATCAACCCGTGGATATAACTGGGAGACCTGAAATCTTACATCACACATGTTCCAAAGCTCAATTATGACCTGTGCGCTGAAACCCTGAAAACATATGAGACTCAGAGTATGCGTCCCGTTCACTGTACTCTCCTGAATCCCAAACACCACCTAGTATAGAGTGGGTCCAGGCAAGGTTCCAGAACTATCCTGAGACTAGCTGAAAGGAAGCTGGAATCAATGTTTAACGAGAGGACAGGCATGCTCAAGGGGACCGCTGGGGTCAGTAAACGTCAGAGGAAAAGGCGAGGACACAGAAGAGGAGACATGCAGACAAGGGGCCCCACGTCTGCAATGGCGGCACTTGGCAGGCAAAAGGGGGTGACCTCTGTGAGTTAAAGGCTAGCCTGGCATACAAAGCTAGGTCCAGGACAGACCGCTATTACGCAGAGAAACCCAGACGTGGAAAAAAAAGAGAGGATCCTACTGTGCTAATGGAGGGGCTACACACGCACTTCTGGACCGTCACTGATGTCTGAACCCTTCCTTCTCTTTGCGTACTGGGTGCTGAGAGAGTCTACTTGAGTACAGAGAACACTGATTCAAATGGATGTGTCATCTGCTCTTCTCTATGCCCTGTTCTATGTTTCTCTCACTCTGATTTTAAAAAAAAATGGCCTGAGGGGAAAAGGCTTACTAGAGAGTAAGGGACATTTCCTTCTGGGTCTGTGTCATTTTGTAGCACTGAAGGACGTCAGGACAGGAAACGTGATGCTGATGCTTACTGGCCCATCCCCTGGCTACTGGCAGACTCATGCTTAGCCAGTTTCTTACACAACCCAGACCATCTGCCTAGGGATGGTGTTGCACACAGTGGCCTGGACCCACATCCGTTAATTAAGGCAGTCCCTTAAAGACATGGACAGCCTGACTGACCTGATAAAGGCCATTACTTTGTTGAGACTGGTTTTTGTTTTTGTTTTTGTTTTTCACCCAGGTGACATTGGACTGTGTCAAAATGACAGCTAGTGATAACTAGAACACTGTTTCAAACTGCTACATCCTGCTCCTCCACAGGGAGATTTCAAGGAAGCTCCCCATTCTCCCAGAGGGGTCCCTCTTTGTTTGCTATGCTCATCACATGCCCATGTGTCCCCTGCCCCACACAGCTGGACCCTGAGAGGCAGGGCGCTGCTCAAAGACATGTAACTCGGGCTTCACGCTTCTCACTATGAAGATCCTGAGTCAAGGACACTGTGATGTCCGCCACAGACATTGTGAGGAGTAAGTGAAACCATATCATCAAAACATTAGTTTCATCCGGTCTTTAGTTGTCCACTCCTCCCACCCTGTGACAACTTTACACAGCATGTCTCATCGTAGAAAGGACAAATTGTAGTGTATAGATTCAGTGGCTGTGTTGGTGTCCCAACCCCTACCCAGGAGGCTTGCCATGTTACAGGGGATGGCGTGCTCAGGCTATATATCCCCCAATGTTAGGGTTTTAGTTAGAATCACTTCCCTAGCTTCCCTAGTTTTCCATTACACTAAATTTCTAGCTCCTCCCAGAGGTGCCCCCAGATTACATTTGTCTCCCCCCACCCCAGGATTCTCCATGCGGATTCTCCGCGTATCTTTCCTCCACCTGACTCCTCCTGTTCCAAACTCCACCGACCCCTCAGACCCCCGTCCCCTTCCACCTGCAATGTATTCTAAATCCACTTCACAATGTGGCCTTGTTGGAGTAGGTGTGCTGTCATTGGAAAAAGCATGCCACGGTGCAGGTGGGCTTTGAGGTCTCACCGATGCACAAGCCACGCCCAGTGAGAAAGATGATTTCCTGTTTCTTCCACCCCTACATAAATAGACTGCCAGCTCCTGCCCCAGCATCATAATAAAACCATGTTTAACACTGATAATAATGAACCAAACCACTGAAATTGCAACAAACCAAATTAAATGTTATTCCTTTATAAGAGTTGCTGTGTTCATTGTATCCATTCAAAAATAAAAATAAAAACCTAACTGACACAGGTATGTCTCTTGTATCCCTGATCTCATCAAGACTTTTATCATCAAGTGGAGTTGGAATTTGTCAAAGCTTTTTCAGCATTTATTAAGGGGATTGTGTTGGCTTTTTTCTTTTGGTTTGTTTATATGAGGGATTACATTGACAGATTTTTGTATGTTGAACCATCCTGCATCTCTGGGGAGAAGCTCACTAGATCATGGTGGATGACCTTTTTGAGGTGTTCTTAGATATGGTTTGCAGGTGTTAAGTATTTTTGCAACTAATGACCATGAAGGATATTGGTCTGTAATTCTCTCTCTTTGTTGAGTCTTTGTGTGGAGTAATTTGAGGAACAATTGTCTTAGCTCTTCTTTAAAAGTCTGGTAGAATTTTGTCCTAAAATCATCTGGCTCTGGGCCTTTTTGTGGGTTGGGAGAGTTTTAATGACTGCTTATATTCCTTGGGGGTTATAGGCATATTCAAATTGTTTATCTGATTAATCTTTTTATCTGATTAATCTTGATTTAACTTTGGTAACTAGCATCTACCAAGAAAACTTCTAATTTTTATATTTTGGAGTACTGGTTTTTGAAGTATACTCTAATGATTCTTTGTATTTCCTCAGTGTGTTACTTTTTCCCCTTTTTGATTCTGATTTTGTTAATTTGGATGTTCTGAGCCTGCATTTTAGTTAGTTTGGGTGAGAGTTTGTATATGGTAAAAGGACCTGGGAAAGAGACACGCCCTGACACTGAAACCAGAGTCAAAAACATAGAATCTGACCCTGAAATCAGAGACAAAGAAGCACACCTCGGCAATGAAAGCAGAGTCAAAGAACCAAACCCTGCCCCTGACCGACTCAGCATGAACACCAACTAGTACCTAAGCAGAAAAACCAACCAATCCTTGGGCATGAAACCAACCATTCCCTGAGCAAACAAAAAAAAAAAAAAAATCAACCAATTTCTGAGCTTGTCAAAGCTCAGAGATAGAATTCTGACCAATTCCCACATTGAAAATCTTCACCCCAAAAAGAAACTCCACAACTAGGAAAACGTATTTCAGTTTAGAGCTGCCCTTTTCCACGCTGGCAGAGCCAGCTACTGCTTGGATTCCTCTCTCCCAAAAAATCTCTTGAGTGAGGTTTGGGTAATGACCTTCTTTCACCCAAGTAGTGGGACAGAGAAATAACAAATTCTGTTGGAGAAGACCAGAGGTGTGAAGGTTATCACCAGATAGCAGCAACATCTCTGTGAGGGAACACCCCTAGCAGAGCAGAGCTGTAACAGAGAGGACCAGAACTGCTACTTTATAGCAATGGAGATGTACATATTACCTAGCTCCCAATGGCCGGGATACCTTTCCCTTCAGAGCTGTAAGTACTGCCTGGCTTCTGATGGCGCAGATGGTATTCCCTTCTAAGCTTTCAGAGTCTCATGTTAAGAAACTGGTGGTAATTCTGATAGGTCTTCCTTTATATTACTTGGCCATACCCCCTTGCAGCTTTTAATTATCTTTCTTGATCTCTGTGTTTAGTGTTTTAATTATTATGTGGACTTTCCTTTCTGGTGCAATCTACTTGGTGTTCTATAAGTTTCTTCTCCCTTCACACACATGTCCTTTTTCAGTTAAGAAAATGTCCCTCCATGATTTTGTTGCATATGTTTTCTGAGTTTTTTCAGCTGGGATTCTCCTCCTTCTATCCCTATTATTTTTACTTTAAATTTTTTTGTTGGGTCCCAGATTTCCTGGAAGGTTCGTGTTACATTTTTAGATTTAGCATATTCATTCACCAATGAATCTATTTCTTTCTATCATGTTCACAATGTCTGAGATTCTTTCTTCTATTCTGTTGGTGATGCTTACACATATAGATCCTGTTTCCTTTCCCAGAATTCCCTCAGTTCCTGCTTTCTTTATTGCTTCTATGTTAATTTTCAGGTGTGGATATTTTACTTCACCTGATTGTTTTGTCTTGGCTTTCTTGGCATTGATTAAGGAATTTATATATTGCCTACAAATTATGAATGTATTTCCTTGGTTTATTTAAGGGTGTATGTCATTGCCACATTAGGACATCTATCAGTTTCTTAAAGACGGTTGTAAGGTCATTTTCTTCTGCTTTGGGAATATTGGAATTTTCTGGTCTTCATATTATATGATGGCTGGACTTGGTGGAGCGATGT